CCGGGAGTCGTTGGGAACTTCAATGATTCCATGTAAGTTGTTGCCTACAGCTGAAGATTTTGTAATATAAGACACTGAGTGCAATTTGGTAATAATTCTGCTTTCTTTATTAGAATCTCACGCCTGTTTTCTGATGCCAAGAAGATCTTATTGTACAGTCAAAATGACAAGAGCTTAGATGGATTTAAGGAGCTTATCAGTGCAGTAAAAGTCATGCAAAATAACACAGCTGGTGAGTACACAACAGTGGCCTAGAATAAAAACATTTCACATTTTCTTAAAGAAATAGCTCACCTGAAAATCATACCAAACTTCAAATGCCTGAGCTGTTCTTTTGCATAAAGTGATTACATACAGCGACCAATCTCTTAAAAGGACAAAAAAGACATCATAGTTCGGTAACACTTTACTTGAAGGGGTGTGCATAAGACTAACATGACACCTTCATAATCATGACATGACACATGTTATGAATATGAAGGAAGTTTTATGCATGTTTGTGACAACTGTCATTAAGTGTCATTCACTCAATTATGACATTTTTAATGCAAATATGACATTGTTTGAGATGTCGTTGTTATGACACCTTGACATAAACCAATACATCATAACCTGTCAGTGTCTTTGTCATGACGACTTGACATTACTAAGACAACACAACCTGTCATAAACATGACATAGCAGATTAATTATCAAACTTAAGAATCCACTTGGCTTTATTGGTTAACATTACATTAAACTGTCAGGTGGTTGGTTTTGACATTGGCTGTCATGAAGCCATTATAACTGTTTAATGACAAATTCAATTTGTACCACTGTTGAGGTCACGAAAAATATTCATGACGCAGTTATAATGGCCTTATGACAGCCAATGTCAAAACCAACCACATGACAGTTTAACTTAATTTAATGTCAAGTTGTCATGACAAAGACACTGACAGGTTATGATGTTATGGTTTATGTCAAGGTGTCATAACAAAGACATCTTAAACAATGTCATATTTGCATTCAAAATGTCATTATTGAGCGAAAGACACTTAATGACAGTTGTCATAAACATGCATAAACCCTACTTCATATTCATGACATATGTCATGTCATGGTTATGAAGGTGTCATGTCAGTCTTATGTACACCCCTTCAAGTAAAGTGTTACCCATAGTTCAATAAAAGTGATCCATATGTACTCCAAGTCTTCTAAAGCCATATTTACATTTATGCATTTGGCAGACACTTTTATCCAAAGCGACTTGCATTGCATTTTCTTCCATCAGTTCTTGCTTTCCCTGGAAAATCGAACCCATAACCTTGACATTGCTAGAGCCATGGTCTACTGATTGAGTTATATGACAACATATTCATTTATATTCAAACTTCGAAAATCAGTTAAGAGACCCACAAGAACCAACGGCATTCAGTATCATTAGCATCATAAACTTAACGTTTTTATATATCAAGTATCAAGTATGCAAATGACCAAATGAAATGCATGCACTACAGCGTGAAGATGTTTTCAAAAACGCCCATAGCAAATACTTCTCCTAACATGAAGTGACTCATTCTAATTATCAGTAAATCCTTGTAAACATACAAGTAAAAGGTTGATGGCCATCATTCTTTGAGGATTTGTTGGAATAGTGAATTTTTTCCACTGGGAGAGGAGAAGGTGTGTGGGCTTGAATGAAGGATCAAGCCTTTCATACAAGCCATGGCAAGTCGGTCTGAGGGCTAGTGTGGGTGTAAAATATGCACACACATCCCAGAATCCAATCCTCTAGCATTACCTTCTCTATTCAATTCACTTAGCGTGTGCTGGGTAAGCAGCGTGAACTGTCTCTTCCTGTTCACAGACTCTTCTCACGCTAAGTGAGCTTTAATCGCATTTCTCTGCCTAATGGAGGAAAGGTTGTACAGACGCCATCACAGAACGTCTGGAGTAACAATTTACAGAGCGCATTTAACATGTAATGTACAATTACATTTTTAGATCTGTGACGGTTGGTGAAATTGGTAGATGACTTTTAATTGCTCTCTCCAGAGCTATACAGACAGAGAATAAAATAAAACCAAAATTTTGTTAAAAAGTAACCATAATACACCTTCCTGTTTTCCCAAAGTAGAAGAGTCTTAAAGAAAAAGAGGCACGTCAGCCCACCTGTTCAAATTAAAGTTTCATTATTGTGTCTCAGGCTGTCATGCCTGACAATAGGAATGCTTTGAACTCGCCATCCAGTCATTGTGAGGCTTATCGCGGCATCCGCATGCTGCGATCTCATTCATTTCTGTCTTTATTCTCCTCTTTTGATTTCAACTAATGACAATAGACATGAAAGAGTTGAGTTCATTGGGTTTAGGTTATAGTTAAAGCTTAAACTCATTCACACCTAGATCATTTAATGCTGGATTCACAAAGAGCTTTAAAAAGCTGCTTTACAATTAGCCACATAATGGGTTATAATGTTCATTAAAAACATTCAGGCTTAAAAAATGACGCCAATCATTGAAATGGCCAAATTAATAATGTAATGGTGTTCTATTTGGATATTGGATATTATTTGGATATTGAGGGTTTAGTTGAGCGTATGACTTCGTATTCACCTACCTGTCCTGATAGCACTTAAACGGTTTGCGCACTTCCTGCAAAAACAAAACAAAAAAACTTAGTTGTTTTTGCAAAAAATGTATACTTTTATTTAGAAAGGATGCATTCAATTGTTAAAAAAGAGACAGTAAAGATGTTCATAATGTTACAAAAGATCTCTATTTCAAATAAATGCTGTTCATTTGAACTTTCTATTCATCAAATAATCCTGAAAAAAATATATAATTAATGACTTTAAAAAAAATTAAGCAGCAAAAAAAAATCAACTGATAATAAAATAAGAAATGTTTCTCGATCAGCAGATAATTTCTGAAGGATCATTTGACACTGAAGACTGGAGTAATGATGCTGAAAATTCAACTGCATTACAGAAATAAGTTATATTTACATCTATTAAAATAAAAAACAGAGGCTCACTGTTATTTTAAGTTGTAATAATAGTTCACAATATTACCGTTTTTTTTTTTTTATCAAATAAACGCAGCATTGGTGAGACTTCTTTCAAAAACAGAAAAAAAGGTCTTACCAACCTGAACATTTGAATGGTAGTGTGAATTTCATACATAAATTACAACTGTCTAAGAATTGGATTAAGGGTTTTGGAAAGCCCTGCATTACATAAACCAAGTATCCTGATTTCAACATGTAATTTATCCCGATTTCACCTCGTTTAGACTCTTTAAGACTTTCTCATTTTGAGCTTGCCTATACCTGTCCTATCTAAAAAGGCCTTACAGATGTAATCAGCCATGACTTTACAGAAGGTCCGTTCACATGTCTTTTCAGACCCCATTGCGCTCCCCTATTTCTACCCCCTTAACCCTCTTTTCAAAAGACTGATTAGTGTGGAAGCGAATGAATGGTTTAGGAATCTGCCACCTCCTGGGGGTTTCGCCCCTCCCTTGCAATGGACACACTTCCAGCCTTTGTTTCCATGAACAGCACAGAAGGAAGACATGGAGACAGTTGGGCTGCTCTGGGCGAGGGTTCTCGCAGATAGTTGTTAGCTAGGTGTGAATGACTAAACTTTACCCAAACACATTAGGTATGGCTTTATGCGAATGGATTGGAGGAGTCTACCGTTTGCGATCCCCAAATGTACAGACTTGAAGTGTTTCCATCAAGAATAGGGCTTTGTTTGGGACTCATCACTTCCATCAGATAATGTAAAAACGTACTTTTTGTGTGGGCCACTTCATCCCCTTTTGTAGATTCCAGAACATTTAGGCAACTAGACTCCCCGTGTGTTGTTTGTGGAATCACGCGATGAATCAGTCAACGTTTCTTTCCACGCCCATGTGAACTGCACTTGCTGGCCTGCTCCGACATGTACTTGAACTTTGAAAGAGGAATGAAATTTAAGGAGAGCACATGAGTGTGTTGTTAAGACTCTCAAAGGCTCGACACCTGAAGGAACAGCGCTAAGTTTCAGCAAGTGAGCGCATGTACTCAGAACAAAAGTTTGAGGTTTTTTTAAGAATGTGATGTAAATTGATGGAAAGTGGGGTGCGTTTCCAAAATAATTAATCCTAAAATAGAAGGGCGGATCTGCTCAAATTGAAAATCTGGTCAAATTGCTGAAAAACCTATAACTACAGCCATTGTATGTTGGTTTTGTAAAGCATTCCTTAACATACACACACTAAAGTGGCATATTTGTCCTTAGGTTTCAAGCTGAAGGACTTCCTGCGTGAAAACGAGACCCTCTCAACGTTCCTCCGGCAAAATGCCTCCTTTCCCCAGAATTATGTGAAGAATATTCTGGAAGCTGATGTGAATCTTGAAAAGGTGAGCATCGAAAAGCATTATTTTGAAGGGGGGGGAAAAACAATGGTGACCATAAGATGACCCAATATCACCCATTTCTTCCATGCTCAAGCTAAAACAAAGACCCGAACGTCACATCTGCTGTACAGTAATTACAGTGCATACAGTATGTAGGGGCATGGTCATTGTTTCTAGGTCCATTTTGATAGTTTACACCACACATGCTGCTAAACTGCCCCTGGGAATCAGTTAAAGAGAGGAAACCAGCATGCATCTCAATTTTTTTTGTAAATCAACAGCTGTTAGCGGTGTGACATGCCCTCAGGGCATTAAACAATCTACAGTCCTCATAAATGACCATAGGCAGCCTAGTTTTACCCTAATGTACCCTCAGAATGTGTATTCAAGGCATCTAGTCTAAGTATAATGTCCCTCACCTGATAATAAACTCATAGGTCATATGAACAGTTCTGTCCCGTCGATCTCCAAACCCCCTCACGGATCACATGAGCACCTTCTTATCTGCCCTCAACCTTACCGGTTATCACCGATGCTCTTCGTGTTTTAGGTGCTGATCAAAGGTTTTGGCGTCCATCTGAGAGATATGTGCAGCTCCACCACACTTGAGGACTTTGTGACCATCCCAGACAAAGGGGTGGCGAGATTCACCCAGGACATCATCTGCAGGTCTCCAAAAAGCTGGCTAGACCAGGCCGAGAGACACTTCAAGTCCAACCTGGATTTTCTCAAACCTCTTAGGGTAAGAAACATACAGTGAATCAAAATGAACTGATTTGATTTGTGTTTTTTGTTTTTGTTTTTTTTAATCATGGCATTATCCTAAAATATTCAATGGAAGAACTTTGATATAACCATGGTATTCTCTGAAGTACTTTATTACATTTCTATGGAATATGAAATATGGTAATCAAACAGTACCATTGTAAATATTACAATTATCATATTCTAATAAAAACCTATTGGTAAAACTTTAAAATGAACAATACTTCTACAGCACTTGTTAATGTTTTTGTTAATGTTTTGTTAATGTTTTTTTAATGTTGTTAATTTTTATTTTAAAAATAAAAGTTGTATCTGTCAACATTAGTTAATGTACTGTTATCTAACATTAACAAAGATAAATAAATGCTGTAAAAAATATATATTCCCTGGGTAAATATATATATATATATATATATATATATATATATATATATATATATATATATATTTTGTTGGTTAATGTTAGCTAATGCATTAATTATAATGTTAACGAATGGGACATTATTGTAGTGTTGCAGAATAATAAAACTCCACACAAAAATCAAAAGAAAACCATGAAAACATTCACATTTTATTATTTCAGTGCAATTAATTAGTTAATGTATTTACTTAAATATTACAATTCTGTTTATGTATTTTTTTTTTGGTGGGGGGGGGGGGGGGGGGGTCAAAAATATGAAAATAATATTGTTTTACAGTTGTGACAATCATCTGAAAGCTCTGAATGCTTTTTGATTTTGAATTATCAACAATATGTCACAGTGCAAAAAAGGTCCTAAAACAGACTACATTGTCTTTATGCAAAATATTATCACTCTACCATCTGACACCATCTCTAAACCATGTTAATGTTTGAGGGGTGTCCAGATGGTGTTGCTTTATTGTTAGCAAAGGGTGTAAATTAAACTGTTGCTTAATAAGGTACCCCCACCGTGTGTCTTAGGGTGACAGAGGTCATCATCTTATCTTCCAAACCGGGGGAATAGTGTCCTCTCCTCCTCCACTGCTGTTGATAGTGGTGTTAAAAACAAAACCAGGCGACTTTATCATTGGCGTGCATTGTGTCAAGACACAAACAACTCAACAGTCAGCTAAAAGAGAGAAAGGGGAAAAGATTGAAAGAGTTAGCGGGTTATGAAGAGCGTGGGAGGATGCATGTCGCTGCCTGTTGCCCTACACACCTACCTTAATATAGAGCCTGAAGCCACGGCTGGAAGTTACAACACGTAATGACAGCTTCAGTTTCTCTGTTCTGCTTCTTTCTAAGATTTCAAAAAAATGTCAAGATGTCGGGTTGACTCATAGATCACGCCGGTCAATGAAAGATGATTTTGACTCAACGTTCTTGGGATTGTGGAAAACCAGATTAATGGGTCATGTTAGTTTGATTTCGCTGGTTGTTGGCATATAGAACGCATGGAATTAATGTGATCATGCGTAATATTTATGGTTCTTTGATCATTTTCAGTCATGCAAATTAGATGCCTCAAGAATGAGTCAGCACTAACATGAGCGACTAGATTTGATTTAACACCCATATAAACTGATTGACACTGATTGAGTTCAGTTACAGTATTGTCTGACTTTTTTCTTCAGGTTTATGTATATTATAATATTGTATTAATATTTGCATAGTTGTCTAATGTAAAGCTAATGTAAATATAGCGCAAGAACACAGTTACAAAATAAATATATGTATATATTTTTTTTTTTACTTTTAACTATGTAAATATATATGTATTTTAGACATTCCATTTGATTTATTTTAACTTTATGCGATCAAAGTCTAAAAATGAACATATATATATATATAAAAATGTAAATTTTACATTAGATTATATATATATATATATATATACACACTATTATTTTTCAATAACTGTATTAACTTATTACAATAATATTTTTTTCTCTTCCTTATACCAGTCTGACATAAGGACTAATGCCACTGATGTCCGGCAAGTTTCCAAAGCCACCGACAAACTTCTGGAGAGCCTGGGATCACTGGCTGTGGAGGTAGATCTCATATTATTTATTAAGCATTAAAGCTTATGAGTTCATCACTACAGGCAAGGTAAACCAATCCTGAGCTGTTCTGTGAACTGTCCATCAACTGCAAATGAGAGTTGTTTATCATAATTCAAACAAACCTAACCCAGTAAGGCTCTCAACCGTCCCATGAGAGTGAAAGTGACATTTAATGGCGAGGACAACTGCTGGGCCTGTGACGCAGGAGTAAAGGTGTCACATTGGGCCTGCATGTGTCGATGAGTTCGGTAGTGTCTCGTTCGCCAGCTGTAGTGGTGCACAGTGGGACGAAGAGAAAGTTGTTTCAGCTCCCAGCTGGACAGATATACAACCAAGCACAGCTGAACAAGCATCCAGAGAGAGAGAGTCACACAATCTACTCAGCAGTCAGTATCTAAAGACTGCAATAAAGACGTTTGCTTTACACAGAGAGATGGGCGTTCATGACCTGTTTGCCCATACAAAAGCCTCTCTGTTCTCTGCTTAACTGAAAGGGAAACCTTTGGCTACAAATCTCACTGAATGGAACATTAAACTCAAGCCATTGCTCTAATCTGGCTCACCCTCATGTTTGAGACGGATGGTGAATTCCAGTTACCTTTTACTGTGTTGGTATGAGACTGGATGAATGCTGATTAAAGTGCAAAAACAATACATTAGGCATATGCAAACCTTGAAAGTTTTCCACATTATAATTAATTTGTTTCAAATGATATATATTGATTTAAAATATTTTTTTTGCTGTTGCAGTGCAGTTATTTAGGAGTTTTCTCTGTACACCTTTGTTTTAGAAGGGACATGAGGGGACATTATCCCTCCCTCCCTCCCTCTGTGAGAGTGTTTTTGCGGTAGGACATCTGTTGCACTCTCCGCCCTCCATTCTCTTGGCACTTTTACACTAAAATAGCAGCAAGTGACTTGCATGCTTGCTGAGTCAGATCCGTAAGGGTCACGTGGTTTCAACAAGCAAAGCTTTATGCCGTGCACCACACCTGGTTTAAAATGAATGACCAGGAGACACAATTCTCTACTCAGTGGAACTATCCTACTGTTTACTGCATATTATTCAATATATACTGCCTACAATTTTTTATTAAATGTACGCATTATGTGCACAGTATACAGGCTATATACTACAGAAATAGTAAGTGTAGTGTGCTTATCCGAACATAGAAAAATCACTAATGAGATTTCTTTAATGTCTCAGTTGCTTCTCTTAGACAGCAATGAGATTAAATGGGGACACTGGAGACTTTTTCGTAAGTCTTATACCGGTAATAAAAATGAAAGTTTCCTCTTAGGTTTGCTTGAACGTGAAATATCTTGACCAGTACAGAATAACATTTCTCTTCTTGTCAGCCACCCTCCAAAAGCAAACCTCCCAGTTTAGACATGCATTTGTGTTAGATTTCTATGTTATGTTGGACAATCCTTTGTGTCTTGAAAAAGCAGAACCAGCTTTTCATGGGAGGGTTTATTTGTCTAATGCTAGTTGTGTTCAATTTGACAGGCCCTTGGGGCATCTGCTCTCTGGATTCAGGATTCTTGGTTAAACATACAAACAGGAGTTAGACAATGACGGTAGCTGTTAAGGATTTTGCAAACATGGCCTGCACTGGCGTAAATAATGAAACACTAACATTATTCCTTGTAATGCTTGTCAAATTTCTCTTCGATGTACTGTTAAAGGGATAGTTCTCCCAAAATGAAAATTCTTTTATTATTTACTCACGCTCATGTTGTTCCAAACCCGTATAACTTCCTTCGAGGAAACACAAAAGCAGTCGCTCTTTTAGGCTCTTTTCAATTACAATGACTAGAAACTGGAGCTTTCGCTCTCTAAAAAGGACACAAAAAACGCATTGAACTGCATGATAGTAGTTCAAACGACTTGTGCACTATGTTCCAAGGATTTCATGGGTTTGTGAACTAATCACTCTTTTGAATTGAATATTTTCAGTAATTATTTGATTCAAATCACAAAAAATGATGTCTGAATGATAAATTCATGAATCGGATTGAACCGATTCTCCAGTGTCAGTCTCAGTGATCTGGTCGCAACCATTTACATACACCAATTGATTAAATTGCTATCATATGGCTTCAGTTGGATATAGTGTTGAATTAACTACTTTTATAGTGCTTTTGATGCTTGAAACTGCATAGGATAGAGTGACTAGTCATTCTTCAACATGAATCCATTTGTTCTTAAAGTCCGCCTGTTTCAATCATTTTATCCCTTAAAACTAATATTTGATCAGCAAAATGACATTCCTAGAAAAAAAATATTCATGCCTTAAAATATCTTGAATGTAACTCTACACCCTTGCCTCATTTAGTATACGCGGTTCATTGAATATGCAAATTAGCCCCGCCTCCACTCACTCACACCAGCTCAGAGATCCGCTCGTTGACGTGATTGGTTACAAGGTAGTTTGTGACGTCAGAAACACCAGCGAATTCAAGCCGCGTTTTTGACACTGTCTTTGGTTCACTGCAGTTTTAAGGAGAAAATACTCAGAAATGGTGCTGACTTATGACTTTGCACATGGTTTGTCTTAAAGCTGCAGTCCGTATCTTTTCCTCTTTGTCGCCATCTCTCTGTTCGAAATCTGTAACTGCAGTGATTCGCGGAATTATCATCTTTACGTGGGTTGTAAATCGGCATGAAACAGCGCGGATGAACACAGTGCTTTGAGGCGAGTGCTGCTGTCAGTCACCGCGCTGTGTGGATACTGTCATACAGAATCACAGATTCACTTTTTGAAAGTTTGACCAACATAAGAATTTTCATAAGAAAATGTCTTCTGAACAAGTAAGTAAAATCCATTTTTGTTCTGACCAACTAATGGGGAAAAAGCATTCGACATGATAAGCTTCGTTAGATTTAATCAACACGATTTACAGCAACCGTGCAAATTATAGCCTACTTTGTTCTCAAATTGTTCATGTTAACAACATCAGGATTGCATGACTAATGTTAAATTTAATGTGTTTTATGGTTACCTGTGTAGTTCAGAATTCATATTCTCCATAATAGCAAAACGAGAAAGGCACAACAAAGGAAACTCCATACTGTGTGAATTAAGAAAACGTACTGTTACACGATTGAACTATTGAAATGTCTTACTTGTTCAGCAGAAAAAAGCCGTCTCTTCTTCCGTTTTGAACCCCTTCAAAACACGGAGTTCACGCACTTTTCAAAAGCCCCGCCGATGTTTAAATCCTTGTGTTCGCATGAGACGGTTTCTTTCTCTTTCTCTAGCCACCTTAGATCCGAAGTACGAAGTCTTTTGGGTTTTATAACTGCTGAATCTCCAGTTGACACTGATGATTGTTGTTTGGATCTTTCTGGATGCCATAAGTTTAATCATGTAAAGTGCTGCGAGAAAAGCCTATACATCTAAACACCTCGTCACGCGCAGTATAGCCGGCTAGCCGAAACTCCTTCTTTATGTGTACAGATGTGACGTAATGACGCAAAGACATGCTCGAATTTCCAGCGGAAACCCACCAGTACCACTGGAATTAAAATCATTATTACAAGCTAACAGTTTTGAAACTAGCTATGGCAAGCAGATAGTTTTGACCACTGGCAGAATAAGTTTTTTTTAATATAATTATTTTGGATTATTTTTAACTTAAAAAAGTTACGGACTGGAGCTTTAAAGCATATTAAAAACAGCACATAGACATATAAACAATATTAAAACCTTGATTTATACCCGAGGGAGACTTTAAATAAAACCGTATGGGTTAGGAACAACATGAGGGTAATAGAATGATGACAGAATTTTTCAATTTTGGGTCAACTAATTGATTAAAAACACACCAACTTAATATAGAAAACGACAAGCCTGTTTAACAAACTAATGAAAACCACTAAGTAAATTTGTTGTGTGATTACAAATCAATCAGACTTCTTGACTCGGTTAAAATTGTAACATTCATCATTCTTTCAGCTGGCCAGTATGAGGAGCTGGAGTGACCTGCGAAATGAGATCCTGTTTCTGACCGAAAACGCTACCGGCTCTCCGAGTCTGATGTACAAGGCTGTGTCCCGTATTGTGTGTGGACACCCGGAAGGAGGCGGCCTCAAGATTAAATCCCTCAACTGGTACGAGGACAGCAATTTCCAGGCGCTGTTCGGCAGCCACAACGACAGTGATGACGAACCGGTTTCAGTCTACGACAATACCACCAGTACGTCAAACCTACGACTGTTTCTTTTTTAGTATTATTAATATAATATTATAGTAATCATTAATACTTTGGATTAGCTTTTATATTTTCATTTGAATGATAGTTTTAGTGATTTTGTTGTGTCGTTGTTATTATGTTTATATTTAGCTTTTTTTTTATTTCTAGCGATTTCAGTACTATTTTTTTGGCTACTAATGTTTGTTTAAGTTTATGTTTTTCATCTAATATTTAGATTCTGCTTTATTTAAGTATTATTTCAATGAACAAAAACTATTTTATATAGTTTTAGTGAACAATAACAACCCTGACCTACAACAGCAATTAACATGCTTTTTCATAAACAGCATGCACTGCATTGGAAATAACGTACTAGCAGTATACAATATGATAGAGAGTATGCAGTAAACGGATGCTAAATTGTCCTTTAATGCATATTCTCATGCATTGTGTTTCTAGCTCCATACTGTAACAACTTGATGAGGAACATGGAAGCCAGTCCCATCTCTCGGATGATCTGGAGGGCATTGAAACCTCTTCTGATGGGAAAGATCCTCTATACACCACATAGCCCTGCAACCCAGAAGATCATTCATGAGGTAACCATATTGAAAAAAAAAAAACACGTGCATGATGCATGCATGAATCCGCAGTGCAATTGAAGCAACTTCCTTATTCTCTCCCAGGTCAATAAGACATTTCAGGAGCTCGGAATTCTACGAGATTTAGGAGGAATGTGGGAAGAAGCCAGACCGAAGTTTTGGAACTTCATGGAGAACAGTGAAGAAATGGATCTGATGCGGGTATGTTATGTCTTACTCTCATTACTGCCCCTATGTGGCTGGTGGTTGCGGTGCAGGACTAGAACTAGTCAATATTACTGATATCGAAGCTAACGTCAACGTCCATCTTTTTGTTCTTCCAAACACAGACGCTTCTTCGAAACAACGCCACTGCTAGTTTCTTTAGTGCCCAGTTGGCTGGGACTCAGTGGAACGTGGAGGATGTTATCAGCTTCTTGTATAAGCACTCCGAGGACACGCGTCCCCATGGGACGGCATTTACGTGGCGGGATGTCTTCAATGAGACGGACCAGGCCATTATGAGCATATCCCGTTTCATGGAGGTCAGAACAGCTCTCTTTCATACTACCTTTTCCTTTCTTTTCTCCTCCCACACACATCCTTTCTATCTCATAATCCATCTGTCTCCCACATACATACTTTCAGATTAAACACGTCAACAACCTATCATCAGTTAAATAGTACACGCATGTATCAACCAGCTGGATTTCGAGTTTTTTGGGAGAAAGGCACATGCGAAACGTGCTTGGATGACCTGTTGCATGAATTTTGTGGGTTTTTGGGGTTTTAATGTCTATTTCAGCAATCTGACTTCTGTTAGTTTGACAAAGGGAGATTTGAAAGATAAAAAGGAAGTGAAAATCAACTTTGTTTTAGGCTAAAGACATTGTTCCCTAGCCATCGCCATTTTTAATGGGTCAAAAGTTCCCTTTTACAGTAATACAACAACAAGCCAAAGATTATTACAGGTCAAATAGATTATTTTAGATCAGTTATGTAAGTTATTGATTAAACCGCATACCACAGCATGTTTACAGTCTAATATGGTCAAATAAAATCAATTGACTATCACTAGACAGAGAAAGTCACGTTGTGACTAAATGATGGTGTTTTTTTACAGTGTGTAAACCTGGATAAACTTGAACCTGTGAGCACAGAGGAGAAACTGGTGAATGAGTCCATGAGTCTCCTGGATAACAGAAAGTTCTGGGCAGGAATTGTGTTCCTGGACGTACAGCACAACACCTTGGAACTTCCACCACACGTCAATTACAAGATCCGCATGGATATCGACAACGTGGAACGCACAAACAAGATTAAAGATGGGTAGGTTTGCTTTTCTCAGTTGTCCAGTGATGGAAATTTCCATTTTATTGAGTTTGCCTGCTATGAAATCAGATGCTTATTGTGTTTTTTTGTTGGCAGGTATTGGGATCCTGGTCCCAGGGCTGATCCTTTTGAGGATATGCGGTATATTTGGGGAGGATTTTCTTACCTTCAGGATGTAGTTGAACACAGCATCATCAGAGCAGTTACTGGGACCAAAGAGAAGACTGGTGTTTATATCCAGCAGATGCCTTATCCATGTTATGTAGATGATATGTAAGTATTCCACTGCACCGGACATAAACCTAGATGAATTACAGAGATGACAAAATGATCAAGGATCATCTTTAAACTACTTCCCCTGCAGAAAAAAATGGCATAATAATACATTTTATAATGTGCTTTTCTAAAACCCAAAGCGCTAGTCTGGCATGCTTGTCCTGACTCCTTTTTGCTTGTCTTTCAGTATGTTATATAACAGCAGGAACAATTATTGTAAATTCTTCTCATTTCTCATAGTTTCCTTCGCATTATGAGCCGCTCCATGCCTCTCTTCATGACTCTGGCCTGGATGTATTCGGTGGCCATCATCATTAAAGGCGTCGTCTACGAGAAAGAGGCCCGACTCAAAGAGACCATGAGGATTATGGGACTAGACAACGGAATCCTGTGGTTCAGCTGGTTTATTAGCAGCCTCATCCCTCTTCTCGTCAGTGCAGGCCTGCTGGTTCTTCTACTCAAGGTACTAAAAAGACATCAGCAGATCTTATTTCCTTTTTGAGAAGCATACTTTTCCCCTACAAAAAAAACGGTAACACTTAACTTTAAGGGGTGTACATAAGACTGACATGACACCTTCATAACCATGACATGACATATGTCATGAATATGAAGTAGGGTTTATGCATGTTTATGACAACTGTCATTAAGTGTCTTTTGCTCAATAATGACATTTTGAATGCAAATATGACATTGTTTAAGATGTCTTTGTTATGACACCTTGACATAAACCATAACATCATAACCTGTCAGTGTCTTTGTCATGACAACTTGACATTAAATTAAGTTAAACTGTCATGTGGTTGGTTTTGACATTGGCTGTCATAAGGCCATTATAACTGTGTCATGAATATTTTTCGTGACCTCAACAGTGGTACAAATTGAATTTGTCATTAAACAGTTATAATGGCTTCATGACAGCCAATGTCAAAACCAACCACCTGACAGTTTAATGTAATGTTAACCAATAAAGCCAAGTGGTTTCTTAAGTTTGATAATTAATCTGCTATGTCATGTTTATGACAGGTTGTGTTGTCTTAGTAATGTCAAGTTGTCATGACAAAGACACTGACAGGTTATGATGTATTGGTTTATGTCAAGGTGTCATAACAACGACATCTCAAACAATGTCATATTTGCATTAAAAATGTCATAATTGAGCGAATGACACTTAATGACAGTTGTCACAAACATGCATAAAACTTCCTTCATATTCATAACATGTGTCATGTCATGATTATGAAGGTGTCATGTTAGTCTTATGCACACCCCTTCAAGTAAAGTGTTACCAAAAAAACTTAATTAAATTATCAAAGGTTATTTAGATTTGGTAACACTTTATTTCGATGGTCCACTTTAGACATTCTACTAACTATAAGTAATTTTGCAACTACATGTCAACTAACTGTCATTAGAGTATTAGAACACAGTCTGCTTAATAATATCTGCTAACACTTTATTTTGATGCTATCAAACAGACATTCTACTGACTAGAAGTAACTTTAAAACTACGTACGTGTCAACATATTCTACTAACCTGAACCCTAACACCTAACCATAACCTAAAGTCTACTAATACTCTAATGAGAGTTGGTTGGCATGTAGTTGTAATTTTTTAAGTGGACCATCAAAGTAAAGTTTAACCTTAGCATTTTGTGGGGTATTGCATTCAAAATCAACTTGGTTTAAAAATCTGAGGACCACATTCCCTCTGAGTTTGAATTTACATCTCACTTGTCTTAAGATCTCTGGTTACACAATTCATTTTGGTGACTTAGTTACATTGTACTTACTCAAATAAGTACTGAGTAATATTAATTAACTACATGCACTTACCATAGAGTTCAACATTAGGGTTAGGGTTTGGTGTAGGGTTAGCAACTTGTAATAGTAAGTACATGTAGTAACATGTAACTACGTCACCTTAAAATAATGGTAACAAATAAACTTATGTTAAGAGTGCTCAAACTATAGACAATTTTACTATTACATTATATTTCTATCATCCCTTTGTATTATTTGATCGGAATATTTTTATTTTTTAATAATATTTATTATTATATATATTTGCTATTTTCCATAATTTAGCATTGGAGTTAACAATAACATGACTAAATAATAATAATAATTATTAATAATAATAAATACTATAATAGCATATAAATAATACTAAAATAGCACAGTTATTATTATGACTAATTCATTATGTACAATTCTTTCGGAAATTTTCATCAAAATACAGTGACAAACGTTCAAACCACTCAGTCTAGAGATACTCAACCTGATTTCTTTGACCTTTTCAGATGGGAAATCTCCTGCCCTACAGTGACCCTGGTGTAGTCTTTCTCTTCCTCGGGTCATTCGCTGTGGTAACCATCATGCAGTGTTTCCTGATCAGTACTGCGTTCGCACGTGCCAACCTGGCAGCGGCCTGCGGTGGCATTATCTACTTTACCCTCTACCTGCCTTATGTGCTGTGCGTGGCTTGGCAGGACTACGTGGGCTTCACCGCCAAAGTCATCGCTGTGAGTTTTGCGACCACCTATGGAAAATAGCTAAACATTACAATTACAAATGTGTGTGTGTGTTTAGCGTCATTGGTTGTTGCTGTGCTGGGCTAAGTGCATTACGTTATTGTACAGTATATTGCATAAGGAAACACATTTATACTGATTCCCTTATCTAAAATGACTTACATGAGCAATGAAAATATCTTAACTGTAAAATTGCACTTTAAACCCATTGTAGGCTAACACTAGATTACAGGGAATCTACACTGGGGTGTTCCTGTTTAAACTAGTTAAATAGCAGTGATAGATTAAAGATCTGGGACACATATACAAGAGTTCAGTTAGAGGTGAGCAAGCAGTGAAGAGTTACTGAGATTACTTTGATCAAGCCACTTAACCCCGGGTTGTTCCAGGGTGGTTTGATCCTGCATGGTTATCTGGTTACTTGTAATTAGTAACTTAGAAGTGACTTACTGTAGGACACACTGGTCCAGCCGACCAATCAGAGCACATTGCTCTTTTCAGAAGGAGGGGCTTCATAGAGACAGGAACTGACAGACTACAAAGGAAAATATGCTATAAGTAATGTGTTTTATACATTCAAGCATGAAAACCTATTCTAGAAAGTAGACCCCAAAAAACAAAATCAAGACTTTGTAAATGGGCATAATATGGCCTCTTTAACAGTTTGATTTCATTCGAACTAAAACCATATTTAAAAAAAAATAATGTAAACAATTTAATCCGACAGAAATCATACCAGTCAGATTTTTGCAAAGCCAGACTAACAGACCCATATAATTTAACTGCATTATGGAGGGTGGAAAATGATACTGTAAAACTAAATTAGTTATTTTGGTGCAAGAAACCTTGACTAAACATTTAAGTGGACTTCAGGAGGGAAAAAAAACAGAACACTACTTACGTCCAATTTGGTTGTCTCCACAGAGCTTACTGTCTCCAGTGGCGTTTGGGTTTGGCTGTGAGTATTTTGCACTGTTTGAGGAGCAGGGTGTGGGCATCCAATGGAATAACCTCTTCTCCAGCCCATTGGAAGACGACAAATACAACCTCACCACCTGCCTCATCCTCATGTACTTTGATGCATTCGTGTATGGGGTCATGACCTGGTACATTGAGACCGTGTTCCCAGGGCAGTATGGCATTCCCAGGCCGTGGTACTTCCCCTTCACTAAATCTTACTGGTTTGGAGAGAAAAACACAAACAATACTGCAATTCATGGAAAGAAGGGCAATTCTGGGGGTAAGAAACCTTTTTGATCACAAACGTCTTGGTAACACTTTACAATAAGGCTGCACTAATAAGCATTAATTCATGCTTAACTAATGCACAGATAATACTGAATTAATGTATTACTAATGATTATCTAAGCTATTCATTAATGATTGCCTCATTAGCAACTAATGAAGAGTCTGTCTGGTTAATATATTAGTTCATATATGAATTGTTATTAATTAAATATGTAAGTGTGTATTAATTCCATAATACCTTATTTTATTAACTAATAGTGTTAATTAATTTGTTAATTACCACAATGAGCCAAAGCCTTATATTTAAACTTCCAGATAACACAGGTAAACTAATATGCATTAATACATTATTAATTACAGCATTAGTAGTGTGTCAATTACTACAATGTTTTTGGAAACCAGTGTTTAATAAACAGCTTTTATAAACTCTAGTGATGGTCATTAATGATTAATTAATCATTAGCTAACAATCATTATGTTGTGACTTTACTTGTTGAGGCACATCATTATTAACTCATCATCTAGTAATTGTAGTAATTGACACACTACAAATGCTGTAATTAATAATGCATTAATGCATATTAGGCTCATTGTGGTAATTAACAAATTAATGAACACTATTAGTTAATAAAATAAGTGATTATGGAATTAATCCACAAATACATATTTAATTAATAACAATTCATATATGAACTAATATATTAACCAGACAGACTCTTCATTAGTTGCTAATGAGGCAATCATTAATGAATATCTTAGATAATCATTAGTAATACATTAATTCAGTATTATCTGTGCATTAGTTAAGCATGAATTAATGCTTATTAGTGCACCCTTATTGTAAAGTGTTACCAACGTTTTTTAGAATTCTGGCCAAAATGAGAAACTGATGAGAAGTTTCATGTTATGAATGATTACTCATAAATATTAAAAATCTATTTAATTTTGTCAACAAAAAAAAAAAGAAGATAAAACATACTAGACATAATCATAGTTTAAATGGTAAAATAAATATAACATTTTCATACTGTACATTATAATTTGTTCATTAGACATATTCTTCACTAAAAAGAGTAACAAAATGGACTAATTGTGTTTTGTGTTTTTTTTTTAAGCCGTTTGCATTGAAGAGGAACCCACTCACCTTGAACTGGGAGTTTACATTGAGAATCTTGTGAAGGTCTACCGTCACGGAAAAAAGCTAGCGGTCGATGGCTTGACACTTGGCTTCTATGAGGGGCAGATAACCTCCTTTCTAGGTCACAATGGAGCTGGAAAAACTACCACCATGTAAGTTCACATTCTGAAATTAGTATAAAATATTATTACTGTCAACGAGGAGCTTACTATTAAAAGTTAAATAGACTACAGTTCAAAATGTTGAGGTCAGTAACGTTCATTTTTAAAAGAAATGAATCGTTTTTTTCAGCAAGGATGCATTAAATTGCTCAAAAGTGGCAGTAAATATATTTATAAATTTAAAAAAAAAAAAAATGCTGTTGTTCTTAACTGTCTATTCTTCAAAAAATCCTGTAAAAAAGTATCACGGTTTCCACAAAAATATTAAACAACACAAATTGTTTTCAATATTGATAATAATAAGACATTTTTCTTGAGCACCAAATCAGGAATAAATTACATTTTAAAATATATTCAAATAGAAAAGTGTTATTTTACCTTTTGGTTATAATATCTAACCCTTCAATTTACCTTCAATGTTTTTAGGTCTATCCTAACTGGGCTTTTCCCTCCCACCTCTGGCACTGCGTATATCATGGGCAAAGACATCCGCTCAGAGCTGAGTTCTATCAGGCGGAGCCTCGGAGTGTGTCCACAACACAACGTCCTCTTCAGCATGCAAGTGCCTTTATCACACCTATAAGGAAAATAATTCGAAAAAAGTCACATATTAGTTGATGTCAAGGTTGCATAGTTCAGTTCTGTGGATGATAATCCACTCTTGCTTGGCCTGGGGTATTTCAGGTTGACAGTAGAAGAGCACATCTGGTTCTATGCCCGTCTGAAGGGTCTGTCTGAGGAGGAAGTGAAGGCTGAGACGGAGCAGATCCTGACCGATACTGGCCTTCCACACAAACGCAAATCCAGATCCAGCCAATTGTCAGGTGTGTGGCATTATGACCTTTGAAATTTTGATATGTTGCTTGTTTGATTTGTTGCAAACTTAAAATTTGTGTGTTCTTCAGGTGGTATGCAGAGGAAACTCTCGGTAGCCCTTGCTTTTGTTGGAGGGTCAAAGGTTGTCATTCTGGACGAGCCTACCGCCGGTGTGGATCCATACGCTCGTAGAGGCATCTGGGACCTTCTTCTGAAGTACCGTGCTGGTAACCACCCTATGCATTTGGACATGACTCCATTTTGTATTTATATATATAAAGAAAATACCACCAGCTCTCATTGATTAATCATAGAAGACTGTGGGTTTTTTTTTTTTTTCAGGTCGCACTATCCTTCTTTCTACCCATCATATGGATGAAGCAGACATTCTGGGTGATCGTATTGCCATCATTTCCCATGGAAAGCTTTGTTGTGTGGGTTCCTCGCTGTTTCTGAAGACTCAACTGGGAACCGGATACTATCTTACCTTGGTGAAGAAAAACTCTGAACCTTCTCTCAGTTCTTGCAGGAACTCGAGCAGCACAGTGTCTTTCGTTAAGAAAGTAAGTACACTTCAGGTCGCAAAAATAAAAGACAAATCAGTGAACACGTTGATTTGTTTGGAAACTAATAGCTAAACACTGCTGTTTTATTGGTTTTCTAGGAAGACAATGCATCGGTCAGCAGTTCAGATGCTGGTCTTGGTAGCGACCAAGAGAGCGAAGCTGCCACAGCGATTGGTAAGGCTACACCTGACCTCAAACTTTAAAATGATGGGTAACTGTTGATTTCATCATATTCTAACTGTATCTTCACTAAAGTTTTTACTATGTTCTGCAGGAACTACATGGCCCGAATCTTCTGTCGTTCCTGTTGATGTGGCCCTCGTCTCCAGTCTAATCCTGAAGTATGTTCCCGCGGCCCGCATGGTGGAAGACCTCGGTCATGAGATCACATATGTGTTGCCGTATGAGTCTGCCAAAGATGGTGCTTTTGTTGAACTCTTCCATGACCTGGATGATCGGCTCGCTGACCTTGGAATTTCAAGCTATGGTGTCTCAGATACTACACTTGAAGAGGTACAGAGTAGCTTGTCTTGTGTTTTATCTGTCAACAAAAATCTTTAGGATGTTAGCTGTGATTATGCAAGTTCTTAATGATCTTTCTATTTTTGTATAGATTTTCCTTAAAGTGGCAGAGGACAGTGGAGTTGACGCAGAAATCATCTCTGGTAAATTTTTAGTTCTCTAGAAAACTGAATAAACAGTAGAAAGAAAAAAAGCCAGTTAAGATCTCATCTTGTATTTATAATTTTGTTAGATGGAACTGTGCCAGTGCGCAGACATAGACAACATGCATTTGGCGGTGACCACCAGAGCTGCCTCAAACCCCTGACCGAAGACGATGACTTTGACTGCACCGAATCTTATGGTGATCCAGGTAAACTTTAAAGCCCTAAAATGTATACTTTATATCATTTAATTAGAGACAGACTCATGTCTTCTTAATATTCTTGGTTTTTAATGTGTTGTCGCCAACTCCTGTTGATATATTTGATCACCAGAATCCAAAGAGACAGACTATTTCAGCGTGACTGATGGAAAAGGATCATATCAGGTGAAAGGCTGGAGTTTAAAGAGGCAGCAGTTTGTGGCCTTATTATGGAAGAGATTTCTTTTTGCTCGTCGCTCAAGGAAAGGCTTTTTTGCACAGGTAAGAATGGGAAATATAATTAAAAACTAAACCTGGGCTGCGTTTCCCAAAAACAACATAAGCTTAAGTAGATCATAGAGACTATTGGTGTCAATGGTTTCTATGATTCCCAAAAGAAGATCATAGAGCCCATGTCAGTAAAGTTCTGTTTTGATCAACTCACTTTGATTCTCTTTGCAGATTGTTCTTCCCGCTGTGTTTGTGTGCATCGCTCTTGTATTCAGTCTTATTGTACCACCATTTGGAAAATATCCCAGCCTGGCTCTTAATCCCTGGATGTATGAAGAACAAATCACGTTCATCAGGTATGTAAGGACAACATGTGTCATTCAACATAAATTTAAAATGCTTGCAGGAAACCATTTAGATTAAATACGGTCATTCTTTGTTATAGTGATGATGCTCCACATGATATAAGCACACAAAAATTACTCAACGCCTTATTAGATGATCCTGGTTTTGGAACACGATGCATGGAAGGAGAACCAATTCTGTAAGTAACTTCGAGTATATGAAACACCAAGATTTTCTTGCAACTGTTAATATATATTTTTTTAATTCTGGAAAAAACTAAGCCTGTCTTCTCCCATGGTTTTAGTGAGGCTCCCTGTACAATGGGCGATGAGGAATGGTCTACACCAGAAGTGGCAGAAAGCCTGATGGACATTTTCACAATGACGAACTGGACCATGGACAACCCATCGCCTGCTTGTGAGTGCAGCTGTAATGGCAAAAAGAAGATGCTCCCAGAATGCCCTGCCGGTGCTGGTGGACTGCCACCTCCTCAGATTAAGATCAGTGAAACTGAGACTCTCCAGAACCTGACAGGACGAAACATCTCAGACTATCTAGTGAAGACTTACGCACAGATCATTGGGAAAAGGTATGGGCTGATTTTGTATCTACATGAAATAGTTCAATACTGCCATTCAATGGGTAAACAAATGGTTTCTTTTAAAGCTTAAAGAACAAGATCTGGGTGAACGAATTCAGGTATGGAGGATATTCATTGGGCGCTAGAAGCACTCAGATACTTCCTCCTGCGGAGGAGATCGATGATGCCATCTCTAGAGTCAGGGAGATCTTCCAACTGGGCAAGGTAAACCAAAAAGCTCATTCTTACGATATGAATCAAACATCTTTTAGGAATAGTGCGTGAAGTATTCTTATCCTACTCTTTTAGAACTCCGGATCAGCTGCCGACCGTTTCTTGAAAAGCCTGTCTGCCTTCATTAATGGGCTGGACACTAAGAATAATGTCAAGGTGAGTGACAGCTGGACGACTGCTATTTTAAACCCATTAAAGACAATCTATTTTATATTTAAAGTCTACTTGGAGTGATCTTTATTGGGGTTTCGTTACTATTTTCAGATATGGTTCAATAACAAGGGCTGGCACAGTATTGGATCATTCCTCAATGTAATGAACAATGGCATCTTGCGTGCCAACTTACCACCTGGCAAAGACCCCCGTCAGTTTGGCATCACTGCGTTCAACCATCCCCTCAATCTGACCAAAGAACAGCTTTCTCAAGTGGCCCTGTAAGCATTGAAACATTGATTACATTTAATAACATTTCTTAAGGACGATCATGTTTTTCTAATCTCTCAACTCTGATTTATGCCATTACAGGATGACCACCTCAGTGGACGTGCTGGTTTCCATTTGTGTGATCTTCGCCATGTCCTTCGTTCCCGCCAGCTTTGTTGTCTTTCTTATTCAGGAACGAGTGAATAAGGCCAAGCATATGCAGTTTATCAGCGGAGTTCAGCCATACCTCTATTGGCTGGCCAACTTTCTTTGGGATATGGTGAGTGTCTGGTTTTGCTTTCATATCCCTTAATGCACTCACCTACTTGGCTGCTGACCCAAAATCTCTAATCTTATTTTTGTCTGCTTTCTGTTATAGTGCAATTATGTCGTTCCTGCTACTCTGGTGATCCTGATCTTTGTGTGCTTCCAACAAAAAGCCTACGTCTCCGCCACCAACTTGCCTGTTCTTGCTCTTCTTTTGCTTCTATATGGGTAAGACAGATAAAGACATTCATTTGAAGCTAGTTTAATTACCTCAATAAGGCGAAAACTTATAGGTATACTGATAATATACCATAAATAGAAACAGAAAAACTAGACTATGTATGAACTACATTCTCATAGAAATTTATTAAAAATTATAAAGTATGTTTTTAGTAAAAAATGTGAAATAAAAAAAGGAAAAAACAGATTATAAACTTAAAATTTCAAAAAAGAAATAAATGTAATGAAAATGTGAAAGAATAATAAAAAAAGTTAATTTAGGTACTTTTTTGGAGAACATGGGGGGGGGGGGGGGGGATAGAAAAATAAAACATTATAATGTACACTTAGGTATGTGAGTGGTGTTTTTGTAAAAATCTGTCTCTGATTAGTGCCTGACATGGGGTCAGAATACACTGCCAATGTGCAAAGCATTTTCCCTGATGATAAATCATTATTCTTGTCTCTCCTCAGATGGTCCATCACTCCTCTCATGTACCCGGCTTCTTTCCTCTTCAAAATCCCCAGCACTGCTTATGTGGTTCTCACTAGCGTCAACATTCTCATTGGGATCAATGGGAGCGTCTCCACATTTGTCATGGAGTTATTTGGAAACCATGTGAGAAATTACTTTTTTGGTTTCATCCTAATGCAGTCCAGCTATGTGTGTTGTTGAGGGGTAATTCACAAGCACAAGTAATTCTGATGCCTCTCATTCTCTTCTGCAGGAGATTGGTGGCATTAACGACATCCTGAAGAACGTTTTGCTCATCTTCCCGCACTTCTGCCTGGGTCGAGGTCTCATCGACATGGTGAAGAATCAGGCCATGGCTGACGCTATGGAGAGATTTGGTAAGATTAGCTTGCTCCACTTTAAATTTCAAATTTTTGCAGACAGATTACGAGAATTAGATCAATGAAGTTTATAGTCTGACCTCATAAACTTGATGAATGACAGTTCTCTGGTCTGTGTATTAAAGATGTAAGCGATTTCTGAGAAACACTGTTGATTTTTAAATCAATCCAAACAAACACACCCCTCCCTTCATTGCTCCGCCCCCAAAATTCACAAACGCAAGAGTGGATGTCTCTTTATCATAGCTTAAGCGAAGGAAAATCATAGCTTAAGCGAAGGAAGTTGACAAACAAACGACAAGGAAGAGCAAAAAATGAACATACAGAACACAAGAGTATCTACAAGCAAGAGTTGGTTGTTAGTTGCCAACAGAACACCAGCTCCAGACAAACAATGACACTCAAAACTGTCCTGTTACTATAGCTAACATTACAACAACACCATATATTGGTTCTGTGAAACAAACGTTACTCGTGTAGGGAGCAGAAACAACGCAACCTCTGCGGCTCTTGCCTAATCATAACCCTTCTTTGTCCAGTTCTATTCCTCTGACCTTTTCTCTTTTGTAATGTCTCTCAGCCATCTCTCTTTCTACAGTCTTTCTTCAGTTTAAATCTCCCTCTTGCTCACTCTCTCTCCTCCCCCATCATGATTGGATACGCCCCCTACTGCTGATTGGCTACAAGTGTGTCGTGCTGCTCGGTCCGATCCACTTTAAACAGCGTTTCTCAGAAATCGCTTGCTGCACCTTTAACTGTAACTACTGCAAGGGTAATTGTTATAGATGCTGAATGCTCTCTTTCCTTGCATTAGGTGAGAACCGTTTCCGTTCTCCACTGGAATGGGACATGGTAGGCAAGAATCTTTTTGCTATGGCTGTGGAAGGAGCGGTCTTCTTCATCATAACAGTCCTTATCCAGTATCGTTTCTTCTTTGAACCCAAGTAAGCATCATCACAACTTGATATTCCGAAAGAAACAAATTGCATTTTCATGAATTGCTAATGAAATTATGGTTGAACATAGTTTATTATTTTAGAAGATCTAAAGTGATGGTTTGTCCATTTTCTGTAGGTCTCTAAGTGCTAAGTTGAGTCCGATTGGAGAGGAAGATGAAGATGTGGCCAGAGAGAGGCAGAGGATCATGAATGGAGCTAAACAAGGAGACATTCTTGAACTCCGACAACTTACTAAGGTCAGCAGAAAACCTCAGCTGATGATCACAGACATCAATTTTAGTACTTCAAATTATGTATAATAAATGGTGCCCTCATCAATCTGTCATCCTTTTCTTTTCCAGGTGTACAAGCGGAAACAGAAGCCCGCTGTCGATCGTCTATGTGTGGGAATTCCTCCAGGAGAGGTAATCCATGACAGATGCCTCATGATCAGCCTCATCCGAACAAGCCACTCTTCTTCACAGCAACTGTACGACCACAAACTGACGTCTGTTTTGTTCTACTTTCAGTGTTTTGGTCTGCTTGGTGTCAACGGAGCCGGAAAGACCAGTACTTTTAAAATGCTGACCGGAGACTCTGTGGTCACCAAAGGAGAAGCATTCTTAGCTGGAAAAAGGTAGACATTCAAATAATGTAGTGATGAGAACAGATGCTACTTCCTCATTACAGCTTAGTCTATATATACACTTCTGTGGTTGCTTGTTTTTGATGACGCTGCTTTTTCTTGTCTCAGTATTCTCAGGGAAATAGATGAAGTACATCAGAACATGGGCTACTGCCCTCAATTTGACGCCATCAATGATCTGCTGACAGGACGGGAACACCTGGAATTTTACGCTATCCTGCGCGGTGTACCTGAGAATGAAGTCTGTGAGGTGGGCAGAGCTTATAAACTAACACACATATTTAAATAAGTATTGACTATTTTTTTGATCATTTCATTAGACCTTTATGGTGAATCTCACATGCCCGGGCCATATTTCACCTCCACTCTCCCTATACCCAAATTTGACATGGCAATTAAGTTTTTTTTTTTTTTTATTATTACCAAAAAATGTAAAATCTTTTTAAAAGTATTCATACAGCCATCATGCTAATTTGAAAAAAGAAAAAGAAACTGTGTACAAAAATATAAACATTTTTAAGAAATACTATATTACAGTAATAATCTCCACTGAAAATAAAGTGAATTACAGTACAAATATTTATATTTATTTTAGGGCTGTCAAATGATTAATCGTGATTAATCACATCCAAAATAAAACATAATATATGTGGGTGCATTGTGTATGATTATTTTATATATATAAATACACACACATGCTTGTATATATTTAAGAAATATTTTCATGTATATACTGTATATAGATTTATATATAATTTATATTATATATAAATATAAATATTTTATATATAAATTATATTTTTTGATTAATCGTGATTAATCATTTGACAGCCCTAATTTATTTGCAATAAGAAAATTTAGAGAAAAAAAAAAAACTTTCGGACCACGAAGATTTTTTTCTTGCAGTTTGGCATGACAATTAAGCACATTTTCGCATTATTGTTGTGCATAAAAGAGTATTTATACTGTCTTCAATTTATGCTGATTTAAAAAAAACAAAAACATGAAAAAGGAAAAGAAATATTGTATTATAGTAATGACAAATCACCATTTAGAATAACAACTTTTTGTTCACATATCATATTATATCATAATGATGAGGTTAGATTTGCCTCATATATAAATAACCTGGACATCTTTTGAACTCTAATATTGGTTTTACTGATGTTTTGTATCATGATGTACCTTTGGCAGGTGGCAGAGTGGGGAATCCGTAAACTGGGTCTAGTGAAGTACGTGGACAAAAAGGCAGGAAGCTACAGTGGAGGCAACATGCGCAAACTCTCCACCGCCATATCACTCATTGGAGCCCCTCCAGTGGTCTTCCTGGTATGTGCATTTCCTCAAACACACACACACTTACACACAAAGACACTTACATAACTGGCTCTAAGTCTTGTGCCTCCTTGGGTGAATGTCTGCAAACTGATCAACAAAAACAACATAAGTCAGGATCATATGACCACTGTTTGATTATTCTCTCAGCTGGTTTTCTCGCTCTGGTTGTATAAGGAGTTCAGGATTATAACACCCCTAGAGCTAAACTACCCTGAACTCTTTTGCCTTTGCCTTGAGAGGCTTCATAAAGGGGTTGATTACACAAAGATCACGTAAGAACAGGTGCGTTTTTGTTTACTCGAGTGTGCGATACACATCAAGTCATCTTAATTTATAAAGCGCTTTATACAATACAGATTGATTCAAAGCAGCTTCACAGTAGAAAATAACTAAATCAATGATGGAATTCAAAATCTGCTGTAAATCAGCTCTAAAAAAGACAACCGGGTCATTATTCAACTCAAGTCAGTTCAGTTCAGTTTTTAGTACTGTGTAAAGTACATCAATCATGAAACAAGTTCAATTGAGCTATAAGTGGCTCTACAGAAGACAATAGTGTTCACTTTGAGTCCGTTCAATGTTTATTCAATTCAGTTCAATAACACTGTTGAATGTCGTTATTGCGAAATTTGTCAATCATGAAGTTAGTTCAAATCAGCTATAATTAGCTATGCAGAAGACAATAGTGTCATCATCCAGCTCAATTCAGTTCTGATCCAATAGTGCCAGTGCAGTCAAATTAATAATATTACTGAGTATTATACTGAATATTATCACGGCAGGAAGAGATGCGTTCTTCCCGCTTATGTTGCTGTTCAGTGTGTGTTTCCTGTTGAACCCGTGGACAAATCTGAGTGTGGCTGTGCTTTTGATTACAGGACGAGCCCACCACAGGAATGGACCCGAAAGCACGACGAGCACTGTGGAACTGCATCCACAGCGTCATCAAAGAGGGACGCTCCGTCGTGCTTACCTCTCACAGGTACATTTATCAGAATTTCCCTAATAACATCAAACGTTATGCTCTTAAACTGAACACTAACAGTGGAATAATATAGGTATTATTAAAATGAATAGTTCACCCAAAAATGATCATTCTGTCATTAATAACTCACCCTCATGTGGTTCCAAACTCATAAGACTCTCTTTTATCTTAGGAACACAAATGAATATATTTTTAATGAAATCTGAGAGTCATTTGGGTGAAGTCTATTCACCCAAAACTCAGATGCTCTGAACTATACATATAAACATTGATCAGCGAACATACATAGAACATCTGTTTAAAATTTGAGTGCTCTATGTATGTTTGCTGATCAATGTTTATATGTGAAATAAAGCCTAAATTAAATATGTTATCATATAAAGGATTGCGTGATCTTCGCAAGATTTTGATTAAATCACAATTTCTTTTATGATCTCTTTATTAAGGTTTTGAACCATCAAGAGTTTTGGGTGAATAGATCCCTCCATTGAAAGTCTAAGATTACCAGAAAACTCCTGTTCTAAACAAGAACACAAAGCGAGATGTCGCTAGACGGCAGGGCTGATACTTGTTTGTTTTCCACTCAAATGTGTTCATTTGAATGTTTAGCTTAGATTCATGCTTAGGTTAGACTTCCACCTATCACTAGGAGGCAGTATTTCATATATTTTCTTCCATACTAACCTGTGTCCTGTCCACTCCTAGCATGGAAGAATGTGAAGCGCTGTGCACCAGGATGGCCATCATGGTGAACGGCAGGTTCCGCTGTCTGGGTAGTGTCCAGCACCTGAAGAACAGGTAAGATCACCAATAACACAGAGTGCAAAGGTCAGGTTCCAGAAGTAAAAATCAATTCTATTTCTTCACTGGGGAATTGATTTTTAAAGATAACTTAAAAACCATAAAAGACAAACCTACTGTAAGCTACGAGGTAGTTAATCAATGCTTTGTTTAAAGCCATCAGTCCACATTATTCCAACTTGTTTTTTAAATAATCGGGCTTAACAGTGGAATTCTTGGAGAAAAACTACATTACCCATGATTCTGCAAAGAAATCTCCACCAATCAGGGAACTGAAACAAGTTACTTAATACTTACACAAATCGCTAAGTAATTACTTAAAGGTACAGTGTCTCATTTCTGCACACTAGCAAGCAGTGTCAAGCAGTAAAATAATGACTGAAATAAAGAACATTAAGAATAAAACAAACATTCATTTCTAGATTTGATGCATATCACTTGCTCATCTTCCTCCAGATTTGGCGATGGGTACACCATCATTCTGAGGGTTGCGGGGCCAGATCCTGACCTGCAGCCGGTGATGAAGTTCATTGAGAGCGAGCTGCCGGGCAGCACACTGAAAGAGAAACACAGAAACATGCTACAATACCAGCTTCCCTCCTCCCTCACCTCCCTCTCTCACATCTTCAGCATTCTCGCCAAGAACAAAGAGTTTCTCAGGATAGAGGACTACTCTGTGTCCCAGACCACTCTGGACCAGGTGAGAGGGCATTTCCAACCAACTGATATCACAGGCACATTTAGTGTATGTAGTGGAGTGAAGTTAAAGAGGAAGTTAAAAAACAGTCAACGGTTAACACATGGCATTCACAACACATTTCACTTGAAGAGGGAAAGAGAATATTTAGCAGTAAATCATGTAGGGGAGTTGGATCGTGAAAAGAGTGTTATGACATTATTGGTGCAATCAATGTGAGCTGATATAATATTATTTTTTTGACAGAAACGTAAAGAATTACATTTTGATTAAAAATAAACTATACAGTAACATACACAGACATGTTGTGCACAATATAAGCAAATACATTTATTTATATATTTTTATTGCATGTTTCATTTTTTGTCGTTAAAGAGGCAATATTATGCTCTTCTAGAAATTCTTGAATTTTGTTTTCGGGGCACTAGAATAGGTTTTCATGCTTGAATATAAAAAAAAACACGGTTTCTGCATGTTATATGTAGGTAAATTTAAGACCTTTTTAAGACCAAGTAAAAAGAAATTTAAGAAATAAATTGAAGGGTACTCAATACGTCAACGTGATCTCTAAATGTAAATGTCGAGGGAGAAAAACATGTATTGAATTCATTTTACAAATTTTTTTTTTTTATCGCTTTGCTCCCAACCACCAGAATACAGAAATAACTGTACCTTCTGCAAAAAAAAAGTGATGTTGTTCCTTGTGATGTTCTTGTTTTCCAGTGCAAATGTCTAAAGATTCTTAAATAAAAATGTATTTACTGGAGATACAATATGATATAAAATATGAAGTCTTGTTTTCTGTGAAGAAGCGAGTTTATGATTAAAACTATAACAAATATCTGCCAGTGGGCTCAAAAAAATTAACTAAATTCAAAGGGAAGTTTTCATAACTTTCAAATTAACACAGAGATTTGTTTTTGTTTTAGTCATAAACTCACATAATTGTATTAATTTTCAAGACTTTATTTTCCATTTGCATCTCAAGTAAATGTATTTTGATTTAAAGATGTTTAAATATTTGTATTGGAAAACAGAACCTATTTTTTTGCAATGCATGTAACATTTAATGCCATGACTTCATGAATTGAATTCTTTCTGCCCTGATTTAAGACTCGCAGAAACCCTGAAAAACATATTTTGTTACATATTTGACATTGTAGTAACGCCCTGTTTAGTTCCGCTCTATAAAGCCTCTCCTTCTGAAAAGCACAGAAGAGCGTGTTTCGTAAATGTTATGCTCTTACCATAACCGCAAGTTTCAACACACTACTATCGCAACTCAACCAGGCCTTGCCCCTTTATTTTTTGCGTATGTCTTGGGCATGAATTATTTAAATATTGTGACGTGTATGTTCAATCAATCAATCGTTTCAGGGAGTTACTGATCTAGAGAATATCATTTGGAGCGACATTTCATGACTTTTTCATGCTCAAACAGCAACATTACACACACAAAAAAGCTTGGAAATGTAAAAAAGCATAATAGGTCCTTGTTAAATATTATGAACTATTATAGTATATTTTTCTCATGGTGTGATTACTCTTCTCCTCGATATACAGGTATTTGTTAACTTTGCCAAGGACCAAAGTGACGACCACTCAGACAGCTCCATTCGTCGTAAAGAGACAGGGGTCAACATGGCCCTCCTCAGCCCTCTGGCTACTAAAGAGAACATGGAGAAGCCAATAGAAAGCTTTGTCTGAGCCGGAGTCTCTCTTTACACTACATGCTAACTGGAGCCAGTGGATTCCACATGTTTCACAATGTTTTTGTGGCCTTTGAGCTGCAGTGTGCTGTTCTGACCTCTGTCTGAAGATAAACGTCTTCACCGGTCAGCTGAGAGGCAGACACTGCAGACGAGACACTCAATGCAAGTCAATGCAAAAGAAATTGAAAAGACTTCTCCGTGTTTCTAGCATGGTTGAATTCCAACCGTGTCAGTCACATTGTTAAACTTGAAGCCATAATTTCTGGTATAGACTGCATGGACTGTATTTTGCGCAGTCGTTGACAGAGATTAATTTTCATTGTCTGAGATAATAGGGCAGATGGAAAAATGCCAATGATTAATAATTCAGGGTCAGTGTCTTTGTACTTTTTTTCTTAAAACTAGAAGACTGGGAATCACATGCTGAAGAATCATAATTGTTTGCGTGGCCAAAGGCTGAACTGCAAAACTGCAAATTGTACTATGTTAAAATGATTTTGTTTTTAATATGTCTATTTATAAACAAGCGATTGTTTTAGATGTTTAAAAAAGGGGCATTATTTTATAGGCTGTTCTATCCAAGAGTGCCTCGCGTTATCTTGTAATATAAGAATCTTTGTGCATGGACAAAACAAGGTGATTGATTTTGTAGAGTTTTTTAAAATAAAATAAAGTTTATACAAGTAAGCTTTAAAGTTACACTATGTAACAAATACCTCAGAGTCGTATAAACAACTTAGAAGGAAATCAATTGAAACATACCGATCATGTGCCTTCTTTAGTAAAAGGGCATTTGGGGTGTCCTTCATTGGATCTCTGGCCATTAAATACAGAAATCCACAAACACAATTTCCATCTGTATTAGCCGTAGCCGTTCAGTACAGTAAGGGTGAACTATCCATGCATTCAGTTTGGATTGTTAAATCAGTATTTTGGATCTCATTGGAATAGGTGATAGCGATTTTCGCCTTTCATCCAAGCACTTTACTTGCTATGTTAATTAAATAAAATGATATAATGCCAATGTGTTAAGATCTTTGCACTGGATTTTCCACAGACAATGTTTTTGCTACTTTTCATTTACTGTTTAGTTTTGGTTTGGGTTCTCTCAAAATAACAGAACAAAAAAAAACAAATACCTAAAAGGACAAAAAGTCTTAGTACCACAGTGATGTTCCTCATTTAATACCTGTTTACATTTCAAATTTATGGCTGTGGAATGTCTGTTACTTGCCTTGTACATTCACTGTATTTACACAATAAAACATGACAATCTACAACCCTAATATTTGTTTGATCTGTGACGTCGTCAATTCAATGTATGAATTATTTTCAGTGTCAATCTGTTTCAAATTTAACAAAAAGAAGCACCATAAATGTTATCACTATATCTAATCTATGCAAAATGCATAACATTGCTGAATCTAGAATGTTTTTTATTGCCATGGAAGAATTTATTGTAGAAAAATGACATGTACACCAATGATTAATAGTCTTTTTAGTCTTAATATGATGCAAAGCATTATTTTGACTCACTATCAGTATTTGATCATCTGCAAAAACTTTAAATCGGTTTATCACTTATTTCATTTGCTGCAAAAATGAAATCTCACTCCACATTTCCCTGATTGTGGATTCAAACCTCGAGGCCATGTTATTTGATTGGTGAGAAGGTACAGGGGAACATGAGTTTGTTCTTCTGTGACACCAGGTACGCTGCACTCTCCCTTACTGGAGAAAAAAATACAAAAGTAAAAAAGAAATGTCATTTTAAAAATGCAAACAGTAAAACATAAAAGTCCCAGAATGCTCTCAGCATCACAGTACAATATTGTCTGCTGTAATAAGTTGTAAGATTTACCTGCCGCCACTACTCTGGCATCTCCATGAGCTTTTTGCCGCATTGCTGCACGCTGGTCTGCACTCTCATACCACCATAAAACATGCACTGCGCATTGGAAAGAAATATCAGAATATACAGTATATACAAAAAGCAGTTTGAAAACAGATTTACTAAACCACAATCCCCTAAAAGCACTGATGGGAGAGGAAAGTTCTGCATGGGGATTTACTGACAATGCGCACATTAAAGAACACAGACGCTGTCATTTCAACAGCGTGTCTATAGTAAATCCTGACAGTAGTTTTTTAACGCTAAAAGAGGGTTTTGGTGGTGCAAGCTGTTAGTAAATATTTACTAATTCTAAAACTTAGTATTGTCAATACACTTGGTCCTGTTTGGTATTATTCATAAACTACCATTTAAAGGTTTAGGGTCTGTAAGATTTTTTAATGATCTAAAAAAAGTCTCTTCTGCCCACCAAGACTGTTTTTATTTGATCTAAAATACAATTAAATTGGTAATATTGTATTTTTCAATGTAAAAAATAAATATATACACTCACCTAAAGGATTATTAGGAACACCATACTAATACTGTGTTTGACCCCCTTTCACCTTCATAACTGCCTTAATTCTACGTGGTATTGATTCAACAAGGTGCTGAAACCATTCTTTAGAAATATTGGCCCAAATTGATAGGATAGCATCTTGCAGTTGATGGAGATTTGTGGGATGCACATCCAGGGCACGAAGCTCCCGTTCCACCACATCCCAAAGATGCTCTATTGGGTTGAGATCTGGTGACTGTGGGGGCCATTTTAGTACAGTGAACTCATTGTCATGTTCAAGAAACCAATTTGAAATGATTCGAGCTTTGTGACATGGTGCATTATCCTGCTGGAAGTAGTCATCAGAGGATGGGTACATGGTGGCCATAAAGGGATGGACATGGTCAGAAACAATGCTCAGGTAGGCCGTGGCATTTAAACGATGCCCAATTGGCACTAAGGCCTTGTGTCCACCAAAGCGTTTTTAGGCAGCTGAAAACGCTAGACGCTCTGCTGAAAACGCCTAGCTGTGGGCGCTTGAGAGCGTTTTGGCAGCGCAGCGTTTTTTCCGTTGAGACGTTTCGTTGCTATGATACAGAATATCCGCAGCACAGTTTACTTGTAACTGATTTCGCAGATAATTTGTTTCATACTGAAAATAAATTTTTCATCCATTTTGTTCGGTTAGCTCTGCTGGTTGATGTTGTACAGAAAGAATGTTGTGACAGTTGGTCGGTGTGGTATTAGTCCCGCCCCTCCTCCACTGTGATTAGACGGCTGGGTAAAAGTGACAGTGATGAGCGCTGCGTTTTATCCCAAGTTGAACATTTTTCAACTCTCGGCGACCAGTAAAAACGCCGGGCGCTCAGCGCTTCAGCGTGTAAAAAACGCCGAACGCTCAGCGCTTGAGCGTTAAATACACGCTCAACGCCTCGTTGCGCTCATGGCGTTTAACCCTTGTGTTATGTTGCGGGTCAATTTGACCCGTTTCGATTTTTAAGTTGTTGGAAATACTGGTTAACCTTTGTTTTTTTTCTTGATATTTTGTGACTTTTTCTCATTTATCATGATGAACATGCATGCAAAGTTTCAACATGCTGATGTGTTTTGACATATACAAACAAAATTACTGTTACGTTCGTGATGTTCGCGGGTCAATTTGACCCTCATAGACAGCCATTCAAAAGCAACTGTACAGACACAAAATAAAAACATTTATTTTCTGTATGTAAGGGCACTTCAACTCCAGTTCTAACGTGCAAGTGCATCTAAAAGTGCTCTAACCCTAACCAAACACACTTGAAAAAGCTAAAATTACAGTGTTCAGAATTATTTGCAAATTACAGATGAAAATCTTTGTCAGACACAGATAGTAAAATAAGCTCTCATTTCAATATTCAAAATATCTAAAATACCTAGCTTTTAACCAAAACTTTTATGTAGGATTTTCAAAGGCAGCTTCACAGAGCCAAAAAAAAAAAAAAAAACATTTATTTGATGTATGTTTTTGTTATGTTTGGTTTCTCACTTCCCAGTGAGTGAATAATGAAACTAGGAAAATAGGTCTTAGGAAACTAGGGAAAGTTAACTTAGGAAAATGAAAAATTTTCATTATACAACAATATTTTTTTGTTCAGATACGATGTTCAAAGCATAAAATGTAAAAAAAAAAAAAAGTACACAAAAGTACAAAAAAAAATGCAAAAAAAATCAGTATACTGTTAATTTTTCAATTTTGTCAAAACAAAACTGTTTTAAAAAATGTTTAAAAAACATTTTCATAAATCATATTTTCAGATATAATGTTTTTGTAATGTTTGACAAATGTTGATATTAAAAGTTTACAGTTTGTATCAAAATCTTTGTTGTTTTTCATAGTGTGATTTTTGAGGAATTGTATTGAATCCAATTAGGGTCAATTTGACCCGGTCCATAAGGGGTGTACACAGAAATCGAACAGAACACAAGGGTTAAAAAACGCGGCGCTCCCATTGAAAACAATTGAAAACGTACGCCAGGCGCGAGTAAAAACGCTTTGGTGGACACACGGCCTAAGGGGCCTAAAGTGTGCCAAGAAAACATCCCCCACACCATTACAACACCACCACCACCAGCCTGCACAGTGGTAACAAGGCATGATGGATCCATGTTCTCATTCTGTTTATGCCAAATTCTGACTCTACCATCTGAATGTCTCAACAGAAATCGAGACTCATCAGACCAGGCAACATGTTTCCAGTCTTCAACTGTCCAATTTTGGTGAGTTCTTGCAAATTGTAGCCTCTTTTTCCTATTTGTAGTGGAGATGAGTGGTACCCGGTGGGGTCTTCTGCTGTTGTAGCCCATCCGCCTCAAGGTTGTGCGTGTTGTGGCTTCACAAATGCTTTGCTGCATACCTCGGTTGTAACGAGTGGTTATTTCAGTCAAAGTTGCTCTTCTATCAGCTTGAATCAGTCGGCCCATTCTCCTCTGACCTCTAGCATCAACAAGGCATTTTCGCCCACAGGACTGCCGCATACTGGATGTTTTTCCCTTTTCACACCATTTTTTGTAAACCCGAGAAATGGTTGTGCGTGAACATCCCAGTAACTGAGCAGATTGTGAAATACTCACACCGGCCCGTCTGGCACCAACAACCATGCCACGCTCAAAATTGCTTAAATCACCTTTCTTTCCCATTCTGACATTCAGTTTGGAGTTCAGGAGATTATCTTGACCAGGACCACACCCCTAAATGCATTGAAGCAACTGCCATGTGATTGGTTGATTAGATAATTGCATTAATGAGAAATTGAACAGGTGTTCCTAATAATCCTTTAGGTGAGTGTATATATATATATATATATATATATATATAGAGAGAGAGAGAGAGAGAGAGAGAGTCTTCAGAGTCACATGATCTTTCAGAAATCATTCTAATATGCTGATTTTTTTTTCTTCTTTGATGAATAGAAAGTTCAAAAGAAGAGCATTTATTTGAAATCTAAAAAAACATTGTAAATGTCTTTACTGTCACTTTTGATCAATGCATCATTGCTGAATAGAAAGCAAGTTTTTCAGAAAAACAGGTACTGACCCCAAACTATTGAATCCTAGTGTATATTTAAATTACAGGTTGTAACTCAAAAAATATATCATAATGATATGACTTGGTAATTGTTTTAAAACATTATTGCTTTCTTGCCTGACTCACCTTGATTGAGCGGTCCAAATTCAGAGTGAAAAACCCCAACTGAGTGGGCGTATCCTGATCCCATGTGGGTGCCCACTGCTGCCTGAAACACTTTACCCCACACCGCCGGACCGCCCGGCTTCATCTGGAAGGTGGCTAACTCGAAAACACCTTCAGAAAACAACACATTTTAACAAAAGCGTGTTTTGTGAACAATTTATGCATATTTGTAATGACAGAAGGGGGAATATTCAGGAAACCATTATGATTGCAGTTCCAATCAAATCAATAAGTTGTTAAGATGTATTTCTCTTTGGTTATGTCTTATATCTCCTATAGTATCAAGTGAGCAGGAATTGGTGACCCTTAAAAAAATCGATGCACGACATGTTAATGCACATAGTTCACACCTCCGTCTTTGGGTGGCTTCTGAATTTTGCTCCAGGGTACGAGGTACGTCACCTCATTATCCTGAGTGCTCAGCATGGGCATCGCTTTAGAGATGTACTGCTCAATCCAGCTGGGGTCCTGAGCCAGGGCTGCCCGCACAGATGCACGCTGGGCATAGCTGTCTAAACAACAGAAAAGAAGGGTTTGTTGTGGAGTTGTATGTGGAGCAGCACTATGCCTTTAATATTTTAAATAAAATATACACACAATAACATCTTTGGGTCAAAACAGTAAACAAACAATTTTACTAAGAATGTCTAAAAATCACATAAGGAGAAAAACAGGATGTCCCGGCTACTATGGGACACCTGGCAACCCTTAGAAGTAAAGAGTCCCCTTTGGTAAGTAATTTTAATGTTTTGTTGCATTTTACTTATTTATTAGTCTTATAAAGTTTTTAAAGTGCACAATGGACATTTAAGAATTCAGTAGTCTCACCATACTTCCAAATGTGGAAAACCTGATTGAGACCCCCATATTCCACACTCCAGTATCCAACGAGCTCTGAGTGGGCTGTACGCAGGTGGATCTTCTCATTGGTCAGTTTGAGGAAGGCAGCGTTGAGATGCGGCTGGATGTAATATGTGCGGAACTCATAGAAGTTTCCGTGCTCCTGCTGCGGTCCGGTGGAGATCGATGCCCTGGGCTGCTCGGCAAATGTAAAACAAACTGCTTGTGACATCATGTGGTCATTAATGGAACTGTTCAGCTTATAACTCATACTCTACGTCTACACTTGTCTGAATTTATATGATTTCATAAAACAGACTCATTGAGAAATGGCAGCTTCAGCCTTCTGCTTTTTCAATTTCAATTTACTGAGGTTCAAGTCATTTTTAGGCACATCCCCCCCCATCAGCACATTTTAAAAACCTTGAAACTGCCATGTCAATCGATAAACTGTACAAATGTTTATGTTCTACAAGTTCAGACCAGCCGATTCCCACTTAAGTACAAAGATCAAACCTTATACCCCTAATGTCCATAGGTCCCAAATACTGTATATAATATATTTTTTAACAAGACAACTCTCCACTTAAAGTGAAATTGACATTAATGGCATGTTAAACACTAAAAAGATAGATACACTGTGTAAATATAGAAGTCAAAAAGTCTGAATTGGAAATGTGTTTTGTTTTGGTTTTGACATTTAAACATGGAATACTGTATGTAAATTCCTAAAATATTTAAGAAGATTAGGCACTTTTTTTAAGTCAGTAAATCAAATAGCAAAATGATGTGAACCCCTTTGCACAAAAGGTCAGATTTTCTTCATTTTCACAAGATGCTCTCTGGAGTGTATGCAGCTGAAGTGCTGCTGTCATTAACTCTGTCTCTGCAAGCATGATATACAAAATAACAGTCAGAAAAAACTATTCCTTTGAAATGAAACAGTCATATTTGATACATCAGGCTTTTATAACATATTATAGTATGATAGGAGAATATGGAGAATATGGAGCTCATTCTCGAGAAGGAAAAAAAACACCTCGGCTCAAACTGAGCAAAACTATGCAATTTGATGCAGTTGCTGATATTAACATGGCCAAAAAGTAAGAAGACATTCTGATATATTGTAATGTAAATCAATGAAATCTTTATAACAGTATAGCAGACTACTTACATTAAATGCATATAAATATCAGTTGTCACTCTATATCCCCCAATAATATGTCTTAGTAAGATGATATTTAAATGCTTAGTTTTATGATCAAAGCTCTGTAGTTTATATTGTGGGGGGTAAAACAATGAAGATTGGGAGATGTACCTATATAAATAAATGTTCCTCAAAGGCCTGATGTATCATATTTGATACTAGAAAGAAAGCTATACTTAAAGTTAGGCTACTTTATAAAAACCAGTAAAGATTTCACAGCAAAAAGACACATGCTGCACAGCCTTTTTCAGAATCATATAATTTCAGAATAAAATTATATTTAGAATTATATAGACGACAATTTTTCATTTAAAGTTGTGCTTATAATGCAATTCGTAATTAATGTTTACAGTATCAATGCATTTTCCCCTGTAGTCAGACTTTTGGACCCACATATGCATGAAGAACATGGGCCTCCTAGTTCCTATTTGGATTATTAAACTTTTTTGCAGTGATTTCATGCTTTTGTAATTCCTGACACTGCCAAGGCAAGTCCTGAACAATGTAACAGTGGAGTTACATGGCCATTTGATTGACAAGGGGCGTCCTGACTGACGCACCTTCAAAAACAAAAACTGGCGTTTGTCTTTTAACTCCATTCAAAAGTCACAAATATTCAATATCATTAGATTTGTAAACCTACATTGATGAATGTTTCTCACTGAGTCCTACATAAAACTTGTGAATGATTATTAAACTCACCATAGGTCGGTTTTTCAAAGATAGACAGTGTTTTGCTGCGCCTGCGTGACGTGACGCGTTCCGGAAAATACCGCGTAATAATTGTATCATTTTTCTCGTCGTGAATCTGGAACTGTACCTGCAGCTTGACTGACGTGCTAGATGGGCCAGATCAGACGTGCAGCCCTGAACAAAGTTCCCTCAGAGACAGTAGTACGGAAGCCGAAATGTATCGTTCAAGTTCGCTGCATATGGAAGTATGCGTTCATCATTTTTTTTTATTATTAATTATTAACATTTAAAACTTTACATTTATGATAATAAAAAATGATATCGATATAAAGGTTAGATATATAGGCTTTCAACCTTTGTAAACATTTGAATAGCTTAGATATGAAGCTCTCCTATATATGCTATGTTTTCTTGTATAATTGTAGCGTACTATTTGTACTACTTTAAATTTAGTTGTTAAAAAATCAAGTAGAATATAATACATTTAAACTTTTATTGTCTCTTTAATTACTTTAATACAATTTTGGCTAGGGTTGCCAGAATTTTTTTCAAAGCCAGAGTTTTCAATTCACACATATGAAAAGTGTTAAAATAAGGAAAGTTCCACTTTGCACTGAGATTTTTAAGAGAACATTCTCTATATGGGGGTCAATGACATGATGTGTTTATTTTTTTTGTGTCCAAGTGCATTATTTCCTTTTAAAATAATTTGATAAATTCATGACATATATCACTTTATTCTATAAAACCTATTTAGTTTGAATTCATTTAGACCATGCCAATAATACATATTATTTTATGTTTTGTTATCTTTAACCCCCAAAATGCCAGATGGTGCAACATGTCTGAACAAATGAACAAACTAAGAAAACTATTTAAAATTGTGTCTAAATGATAAACAATTCAAAACTAAATGGTATCATTTTAGGTTTGAAACATTTCATATAAACACATAATAAATATCAGTAGGTTTAAAGCTGTTGAGACAATTAAAAAACTTGTGTCCAGCAATTTGTATATTCTCAAATGTCAGGGTGGCGCAACTTCAAACATGGCTCTTTTATTGTGAATAGACAAGGTAATAACAGTAAATATGATAATGCATTATCCAGAGGAGCTCAACTGATTGTTTGAAGGCCTTTATCTCTGCTAATTTTAAGTATGGATATAGGTTTGGTACACTTTCCATGTCATGTGGTACAACTACATGTGCATACAACTATTTGGTTGTACCGCCTGACATAAAAACAGTCAAATATTTATCTTAAACACTGTTATTTAACAACTGAAACTCAACTCATTACTCAAAAATATGCAAAAATATTTTTTTAAAACAATTTTTTTAAGCTTTATTTACCAATGACCCGTATAAAAAAAAAATTATGGTTCAAAGTCTCTTCAGGCCCATATACCCTACTGCAAGTTAATTATTACATTACATAATTATTCTGTTAACTGCATTCCATGTTTAGTGGAATTCCATTTATTTGGGGCCAATAAACAGGGACACACCTCCCAGCCAGACCTGTTTTGAGGGATATTATACAGGCTAATGCTTTTTGGATTGTGCTCAGCAATTTTTGGACAGACTGGAATGTTTATCCCTTAATAAAGAGAGAGACAATAGAGAGGCTCTGTTCTCACTGGTGTTGACGCGGGATAGTGGGTAGGTGGGGCGGATAGCTGTCAAAATATCAGCACCTCTCCTCCTCCTCCTCACTTTCAAACTATATGTTGAGGGTCATCAACAATACAACACTCAGAAGCGAGCTAGAAGTCATCAGTCACTGTTAAAAGCTCTCAGCCTGAACTTACAAATCCAGATTTTTGTTTTGAAATCCAGGCTTCCTTCCTTTGAGCATCATGACTGGAACAGCGGTGGTTCTGATGAGCCTGGTCCTCATCCTCTCTGTGGGTAAGTCTCATCATCTGTCATAAGAGCTGTTATTGTTTTAATCATTGAGGTGTGTCATTTGCAATTAACAACAGCATTGAGATTAATCCAACAGAACCTTTTTTTCCAGACGCAGAGGATAAATCAAGACTCTACCGCAGAGTAAGTCAATTTATGCATTAGAAGATAAACTGTGATGCATAACAGGCATTTACTGTAAATTGCATGTGTTTTTAATCCGACAGCCTGCATGTGGAGGACTGAGTGTCAACCAAGCATGTCCTCTCAACTACTCTCCTGTGTGCGGTAATGATGGCATCACATACGTCAATGAATGCAACCTGTGTGTGCAGAGAATGTGAGTCCATTCATTTGCTCCTGTTAGTGTAGGAAAACAGCATTACAGTTGACATGGTTCTTGCCTGTAATTACTCATATTGTTAAGGGCTGTTAGTAAGCCAGTATTGATGTTGGATAACTGAAAGGGTGTTTGTTTTTTAGGCACACAAATGCAGACATTATGATTGTGAAAGACGGACGCTGCTGAGGCTGCTCTTATGATATCATCACTTCACTTTTCATATCTATGTTTGTTTAAGAGTGTTGTTTGCTATGCTCATCCAGACCAGTTTTGCACTTATACCTATACAGTAGATGTGTGAAATCCTACTGCATGTTAAAAATGATAAATACTAGTGATATGAATAATAAGTGTCAGTTTATCACATTTAAGTGACTTTGAGTGAACAGTGCAGTGTGTTTGATTTTCTATTTACTTAGTTTGTTTTACATCAATACTGTTCTGTCTTTCTTTCCCAGACAACAGGGAACATTATCAGAACTTTGGCTAACATTCTGGCAAGGTTCTCTCAAAGTTATGAACAAATGTTCTTCCAGTAACGTTAATAGAATGCATGTTCAAAGTTATCTGGTCTTAAATTACATTGTCAAAACATTAGCACAAAAGTGTTATTATACATCATTCATGGAGCGCTCCCCCCCCCCCCCCCCCCCCCCCCCCCATGCAAACTTTTAGTTGGATGTAAGTCTTATGCTTTTTAAACATTACACCTCAGAGACATTCAAAAGTAATGTTCCCATAATACTTGCAACGTTTTTAAACAGAGGAAACGTTCACTAACCAAGAAAAAAGTTTTTAAAACATTTAAAAATCTGGACGTTTTGAAGGTTCTGAGAACATTCAGAAATAACGTTTTCATAACTTAATGGGAACATTTGCAAAACATCTTAGAACATATTTTTGTTAGCTGGGTTAAAATATTTCAGCTCTTCCATTAAGTTTCTTCTTTTTCTTTCTGCTCAGAGTACAATGTTTCAAGAATGAAATTTTAAATATGTAAAAAAAAAAAAATCGAACAAAAATGGAAATGTGACATGATGACAAACTGTGTTATACCGTTTATACCTTGATTTTACATTTTTTTGCTAATAAAATAAACATATTTAGCCAAACAATTGTAAGGTTGGCAGCTTCATTTATGTCTTTCTTTTCTTTGCAGCATACTTATTATTATACTGAAAAAGAAACAAAAAGGTTCTGGACACTGCACATTCTTGCACATGATTTTTTAACTCTCATTCAAAACTACCAACAAAACATCTCGTTCCATTCAAAATAGCATGTACAGTAATGTTAATTTTGTATCAGATGCAAGTCTTTAGGCTTCTAAATCTTAGCAGCCTGATGTTTTGTAGGCTATATATAGCGGAACACAGTTTTCAAAACTGTATTTTGAGGGACTGTTTAAGCTGACGTACCAATACACTGAACGCTCATTCACATGTGAGTTTTGACACAACATACTTCCGGTTAGGAAATAAATATTGTGTAAACAATACAACGTTACATATTTAATAATACAACGCGTTTTAAGATTTAAGATTAATACCAATAATCTTTCGTTGAAGTTCCTGAGACATGAATATTAAAAATGCGCTTTCTGGATGTCAGCTAACTAGTTACGTCTCACAAATATTTTGAACTAACAAAATATTTAAGTTAAACTAATTCAATAACTCGTAACTCTGATATCCTTATGCTGAGACTATTGTCGGTGAACTTTGGAGGGCTTATAAAGCACAAGACACTCTTAAGTCTTAAATTTAGCACATCATCAGTCATGGCCAAAAGCAAATTTGAATACGTGAGAAACTTTGAGCTTGACGACAAATGTTTGAAAAACTGCTATATTGTGGTTCGGCTAGATGGACGCAACTTCCACAAGTAAGTGCTTCTGTAATGCTTGCAATAGGTACAGTTACGACATGCTGTTGCAGTACAGGTACTAACCCTGTCTTATGTATGTGGTTTACAGTATTGCATGCATTTTAAGTTCTAAAGACATAGAGGGATATTTTTTCTGAACATTTTTACTATTAGTGTAATACCATAATGTCATACAGTTAAATTGTTTAATTGATTTATATTATATATATTTGGTTTATATCTGAGTTGGTTCAGGCTCAAAACATTAAATGTGCAAAGAGTTTAATTGCTATGAAACTGAATGTCAAACATCAAACTAACTGTACGGCTGTGTTTCACAGAGGGTAGAACATGCGTGATGATGACTGAGGGCATTTTCTACATGATCCCCTTGATTGCAGGTTTTCTGATCAGCATAACTTCATTAAACCCAATGATGACAGAGCTCTGGGTTTGATGAGCCGCAGTGCCCGTTCGGTCATGGAGGATCTGGAGGACATCACTATAGCCTATGGACAGAGTGACGAGTTCAGCTTTGTGTTCAAAAGATCAACCACCTGGTTCAAAAGAAGGGCAAGGTATAATTCTATGCTGACACAGTGCCGTAGATAAACTTGCAAACTGTGAAATGCATTTCAAAACCATCTTGATGTCAAACACCACAATGGTTATCCAGGATAATGCAGTCTAGGACAGGGGTTTTCAATATTTTAGATGCCACGAACCTCCATATATGATCATTCTTATGCGAAGGACCCCATTCTAAAATTTAAAAGGCTGCTATAAATATTTTTTATGTATAAAGACTGAAAAAGAAAATATTATAAAAGTGTGAAATACACTGCCCGGCCAAAAAAAGTTTGGCTTTAAATAGGTAACTGGTTTAAATAGTTTAAATAATTAAGTATGATTTGATTATTATTGCTGTGATTATTATGTTTTTAGCATGTTATATGTTTGGCAACAGTTCTTCTAACACTAACTGATGGAGTGGATAGCTTTTCATTTCTTAAACAACTATGTAGGAAGACACATCATGGCCATATTCTAGGATGACAATGTCAAGATTCATCAGGCTCAAACTGTGAAAGAATGGTTGGGAGGAGCATGAAGAATCATTTTCACACATGAATCGGCTCCTCTGATTCCAGGCCCTTAAGTTCATTGAAAGTCTTTGGGATGTGCTGGAGGAAACTTTACAGAGTGCTGGACTCTTACATTGTCAATACAAGATCCTGACCAAAAACTGATGCACCTCTATTTGCCTATTTAAATAATCAGTGTATTTAGTTTGTTTTTCTATTCACTATAGTACTGTACAGTGTATTTTTTTAAAACATTTATTTTAAAATGCATTTTTTCCCCAATTTTGCTTATAATTCAATTAATATAATAATTGTTATATTTTTTATTCATTGATTTATATCAAATTTGTATTTTAATATTTTTTCTTTCTTATTTATTTAAAAATAAATTACACTGTTTTTTTTCTTATATACGTTTCCATTGACCCCCTAACATTTCCTTGTGGCACCCTTGACCCTGAAAATCTCTCATTAAATGTTTTCTTTTCTCTTTACAGTAAACTGATGACCCATGTGACATCCCAGTTTTCATCTAGCTTTGTTTTCTATTGGAAGGAGTTTTTCGGGGAGCAGCCGCTGCTGTACCCGCCCAGCTTTGATGGCAGGGTGGTGCTGTATCCTACCAACCGTAACCTTAAAGATTATCTAAGCTGGAGACAGGCAGACTGTAAGTTAATGTATTTTGTTGCAGATTTGGGTTGACTGTAACATGTACAAAACATTATAATAGGATGAACTAGATAGATCTGGGCCATTATTTGCACTTTTGACTTCTGCAGTTTACTGTGATTGTCACCCCAAAACTACAACAGACAATAAATACAAATTTCATGACAACCTTTTGAGAATATGGTAATAAAAACATGCTTGCTTGCTTGTGATGGGGCATTATAGGGATAGTTCGTTCAAAAAGGAAAATTCTGTCATAATTTACTCACCCTGAAGTTTCTTTGTTTTGTTGAAAACAAATGAAGATATTTTGAAGAATGTTGGTAACTAAACAACTGCCGGTCCCTATTGACTTCTATAGTATGAAAAAAAAAAATACCATAGAAGTCAATGGGGACCAGAAACTGTTTGGTTACAAACACTCTTCAAAATATCTTCTTTTATCTCATACAGGTTTAGAACAACAGTGAGTAATGATGACAGAATTTGGGTGAACTATCCCTTTAAAAAGTACACATGTGCTATTTGTTATTGTCATACTATTGTATATGTTTTACTTTGATGCATAAAATATCGATTTTAGAAAATGTAGCTAGACAAGGATTTGGAATTGTTTCACATTTTATTTATTTATTTATTTATTTATTTATTTTTGACGTGTTGTATCTTCTCAGGTCACATTAACAATTTGTACAACACTACGTTTTGGACGCTGGTGCAGAAAGGAGGATTGACCACAACACAGGCTGAAGAGAGACTCAATGTATTCTCAAATATTTATGTTCTCAGTTTTTTTTTTCACATTAGTTATCATATAGATTTGAAGGATGCTTGTCACTAAAGTACAAGGAAGGTTTCCTCCCCAAACAATATAAACATGGCAGTATTTAAATCTGACATGTCTAGTCACAATCTCCTTTAGGTATATTATCCAGTAAGCACTTTTACCCAGATACATAATCTTACAATATTTGATACTAATATAATACATAAATGTTTATTTGAATTAATTCATTTTTTTCCATATAAGTTTAATCAAACATGCCTAATTCTAGTACAATTATTTTGTATATTTACGTTCTATAGCTGTAGTGTAATTTACTTAAAGAAACTAAAAAGATGCATCATTTTCCCCACACACAGGGAACCCAAGCAGCGGATAAGAACGAGATCTTGTTTTCTGAGTTCAGTATCAATTACAATAATCAATCCTCATTTCACAAAAAAGGCACAACTTTAATATGGGAAAAGGTAAGAGACAGCTGGATTTTTTTTTCTTCTCTCATCTCTTTAATGAAATGTATAACTCTGGTTTCTTTCTCAAACTCTTTCCTTCAGGTGACTGAAAGCGCAACTAAACAGATCAAGCGGCCAGATGAAGGAGAGTCAGAAGTTACTGTGACACGGACCAGAAAGAAGGTTACAAGTCATTCCTGTGATATCATTGGAGATCAGTTCTGGGAAGAACATGCAGACATTCTGGAAAGTGACCAGTGTTGATCACACTGTTAAAAAACTCAGACCAAAAATGCGAGTTTATTTTTCCTTTTGGTGTTTAATTAAAAAAAAAAAAACTTTCAATGTTTTATATTTATTGTCTTTTTTGGAGGGAAAAAAATGTGACTGAAAGGTGATGTTGCCATGTTATTTCCCCCCTAAGATTCCTAGTAGAGATAAGGAGGGATATTATTCTCTCCTGCAGGGATGAGCATCTGTTTTTACCTCACCCCCTCTGTGTGCTGATGACTTTAAAAGTCTGTTTTCTCCAGATGTCAGTGTCTTTATGAATTCCGTATGATAGAATCAACACGGGTACATTTAATGAAGTGCGCATGAAATCAGTACTTGAAGGGAAATTTCACCCAAAAACTTCCAAATCTGTATGAATTTCTTTCTTCTGCTGAACACAAAAGAAGATATTTTGAAGAATATGGGTACCCGAACAGCTGCTGGTCCCCATTGACTTCCATAGTATGGAAAAAAATACCATGGAAGTCAATGTGTTTGGTTTGGTTACCTGCATTCTTCAAAATATCTTCTTTTGTGTTCAGCAGAAGAAGGAAATTTAGGTTTGGAACAACTTGAGGATGAGTAAATGATTTTTGAGTGAACTATCAATACAAATTAAGCTCAATCCACAGCACTTGTGGCACATGCCTCATGCCTCATTCATTCATAATGTTGATCACAAAGAGCAAAAAATGTGGTTACTCTTACAATGGAAGTGAGTGGGCCCAGTTTTTGGAGAATTTAAAAGCAGAAATGTGAAGCTTTATAAAAAAAAAAGTACTTGTATTAAATTTTCTGTTAAAACTTGTGCATTCGAATTCTAAAAATGTAAAAGTCTGAATCTAAAAATCATAGCTTTTACAGTCTTTTCAGGGTTATGGTGTTATGATGTTACATTGTCATGCTGACAAAATTTGTAAAATTGAATATAAATTGACACGGAAAAGGTTAACATGTAATTTTTATTCACAGTTAACACGTTTATGTCCTGGTATACTTTTGAAACAGTATTTTAATGTTTTCAAACTGGCCCCATTAACATCCATTGTAAGTGCCTTACTGTAACCCAGATTGAAAAAATATATAAAATAACGAGGAACAAGTGGAAATTATGTTTTATTATAATCAATATTATGCCACAAATGCTGGCGAATAAGCTGTACTGAGATCAAGATATTCCAACTATGAATATAAAAGTTTCAACACATCTGAACATCCCAGAGGATGGTGTGTGTGCTGGTCTTTCCTGTACTTTGATGTTGGAAGCAATTATGTGAAGTACAGAATTATTGTAGCTGATCGTGAAACCACATCTTCCCTCTGCACTACTCTCTGTGCTACTTGTTTTAGAGCCAAGGTGTATATTATTACACACAATGTTGTGTGCAGTGTGTAATATGGTATCCCTGACCTCGTTTCCGTGCTTAAATTATAACAGTGAATGTACTCCATCACTGTAACAACTGTAAATGCCTTCGAAGAATGAACATGATATTTTTTCTACTACTAGTATTTTAGCAAAGCTCAGTATTATTGCTCATTAAGCATGCAAGATTTTGTGCTTGAATTATGTATGCTGAATTTCTGTGTAACATGACTTCTACTAGTTCTGGTAATTTATTTTATTTTTATTTTTAGACAAATTTCGAATGAATTAATCTTCATAATAGGCTATTTATAGACGGATGGATGGATGGATAGATAGATAGATAGATAGATGTTTTTATGAATGATGGAGGCAGACTGAAGGGGAGGTGCTTGTATCAGGGTGAGAGGGCTGTAAAGATGCGCTCCTCTCACTGCCTCTGTCGGACTCTACAGTCACACATACCGGTGCTGTTCATCATGAATGCTATTCATAATCGATAATAATTCCTTCTGCACGGCTCGTTTATTTCGTGCATATTTACATTTGAATATTTACATTTAATTTAATTTATTATGCTTCAGGGCGTGTATTTAAATCGCTGCACGGTCGCGGGTGCAGTGCAGTTCCGTTTGTTTTTATTGTTATGTTTTTTTTGTTTACATCTCTCTTTAAGATGCACTGCACATGGCGACGACATACAGACGGGTGAGTCTTATTGTATTATAGTCACACTCACAATAAAATAATACCGGTATTGTGTTGCTTTGAGTCTAAGCAGTGGAATTGAAGATGCTGCGCGCTTGAACTCTTTCTCTGGTAATTGTGTCAGATTGATTGTTTATTGATCACGCGATTGATTTAATGTACTATTAGATGAACGTTGGCATGGAGACTCATATCGCATCCATGACAACCCGCAGCACTTTATCACTTATCCAGAGTGGATCAGCCCAGCCAGACACAAAAGATCTCATGTGGCCAATAAGGTAATGTCGATTGCAAATGTAGTTTTGATAATAGTAAAGGCTATTACACCAATGTAGGTTACTTGTGCTTATATTTTCAAACCACATTTGCAAACTTAATTTGTCATCAAATGGCTTGTTCATATTGGATTCTAATCCAATACAGCAATAAAGTGAAAAGTTGAACTGTTTTTTAAAAGGCTTTGCTATATTGCCCAGCACTAGAGCTGCATGAACTCAATAGCTTTTTGTAAAATCTGGTGATCATGTAACATGTTATCAAGAATGATTTGAGACCGATTGAAAGAGATTCTTGTTTTTATATGGAAGCCAGATTTTTGGACCCCACTCTATGTATAATACTTATTATAAACCACTTGCCTCATTCATAATCTTTTTAACTAAGTATCTATCACCAATTTTGCATAATGTAAATTATTGGGTAATTCTAGATAACCTGATTGATTTCCCTTCCCAGCATCCGTCTGAGGCAGAGGTCAAGATAACTGCGGGAGGAGAAGATCTGATTCTACAACTCCAGAGAAATGAGTGAGTTTGTGCGTGTAGTCTTATAAATAACCATCTCCATTCAGTTTCATCCCCTGCTGTCCAGCTTTACTCCACTGTAGCCATATCTCACTTACCAACTGGAGGTGTCGTGATATATGAAATGCGGTTTATAGCGCTGCACCAAAAATACACATCTATGTGGTTTCCCTTTTCATTTTGGCACAAGCATATGTACATCTGTTGATGGAGAGCGTTTGCACCGTACGAGCATTAAACCATATGGGAATGACATTTGATACTCCTGCTCCAGGACACAGGAAGCTGAGTGTGTCACATGGTTTAGTTTCTGCCCCTGGAGTGCTTTGCCATTAGGGGATAAGTGCACATGATAACAGGTTGACAACCGAATAAACCAGATTGATTATTTCTGAGCTGTATCATTGGCATTAAGTGGCTAGTGACAGGACTTTTAAAGACATCCTGCTTTGTTGTTCTGTGGCAAGGATTGTGTTCGATGTCCCAGGAAAAGCCAGGGTGCAACCAGCACAATCCTCTCCTGGAGCCGGTTACACCAGCTGTGTGCTCTTAAAAATAAATGGGTTTTCGCAGTCATGCCACAGAAGAACCTTTTGGTGAACTGGTCTTAAAAGAAGACCATTGCTTTCCTAGAGTGAAGAGCATTTTAATAATCTAAAAAGCCACCAATGCCAATAAAGAACCGTTATTTTTAAGAGTGTTAACGGAAATTCCCGGCATTTCAACACAACTTCCACTCACATATTTAAAGGCTGCTATTGGATCATTGAGTGCTAACATCGTATGAACAAAGAGAACAAATGGTGCAACTGAATAAAGTACAGAGTTACAAACTAGCTAGTAGTTACTAAGCCTCTAGTGTGGACTTTACAATCCAATTTAAAGGATTAGTTCAACCAAATATTAAAATTATCCCAAAATTTACTCACCCTGAAGCCATCCTATGTGTATATGACTTTCTTCTTTCAGCCAAACACAATCTGAGTTATATTAAGAAATATCCTGGCTCTTCCAAGCTTTATAATGGGAGTGAATAAGAACTGAGATTTAAATATGGATATTTTAATTACAAAAACCCATCGCTTTGCTTCAGAAGGCCTTTGTTAACTTATTGAGCCATATGGATTACTTTTATGATGGATGGATGTGCTTTTTTGGGCTTCAGAGCCAGGATATTTTTTAATATAACTTCGATTGTGTTTGGATGAAAGATGAAATTCATATACACCTAGGATGGCTTGAGGTTGAGTAAATTATGGGATAATTGACATTTTTGGGTGAACTTACCCTTTAAGAACTTACGAATGGCTGGTGCAACCCTACCCTGGTCTAAGTGGTGTCACATTAGTGAAGGTCCTATCTGGAAATCAGAGCAGATGGAATAGCCATAGGCTACCAACTGAAGATCCATCCAGAGCACTACTCCATGGTGTCTGAGGGAACGGCACCCTGCTGGTCATTTGTCACAGATGCAACCACAGATCTAGGCTTTGGTGTGATGAAAACATCAGCACCGTTTCTCAAGCATTGTGTCAGTTTGTTTTGGGGAAGTGTGCGGTTTATAATTCACAATCATTTTGTCTTTTACACAAAGTAATATTGAGCAACTTCCTAATTCAGAGAGACACTTTGTTACTGGATTTCAATCTGACGTAATGTCAAATTTCCAGAAGTCATGGTGAGTGACCAATAGCATGCAGTGTTTTGAAGAGTAGCATAACAGAGAGTTAATGGCCATACATAGTAATATTTGATCAGTTCTGTTGTGTGGGTGGGAGGTACTTCGGAAATAGAATTAACTGGAAATTTAGAATTTGCAATGCAAGCATATGTCAAGAAAAAGTTAGCAGCCACCACTCTTAAAAATAAAGGTCCTAATTGGCATTGATGGTTCCCATGAAGAACCTTTACATCCATGGAAACTTTACACTGCACAAAAGGTTCTCTATAGTGGAGAAATATTTTTTCAATTTTAGAAAATGTCCTTCACACTGTAAGAAAAAGTGCTTCTTTGGGAACCAAAAATGGTTATTTTATAGCATCACTGCAAGAACCCCCTTTTAACCTTTATTTTTAAGAGTATGTTCAGTATTCGAGCAGCACTGAAATGAGATTTCTCTTTTTGTGGTCCCAGTGTCTCGGCAGCACTATTTTTGTATATCTGGGGTTTGAGCATGATTCTCTTTCATGTGGACTGTTTATCGATTAAGGCTGTTGTAAAAATGAATGCAGGGTCAGCTATACCTCCCTCATCCCTGCATTCATGTCTGAGCAATGCATATTAATACAAGCTGGGTTTAATTGTCTCCTGATGTGGATAATTCCAATATTTGTGGGACAAGATAAAAGCGAGGAAAATGGTTTCAAAGATATCCATCTCAGTTCAAAGGCTCGGGTTAATACTAATTGAGGTCAAGTGTAGTCATTCATTATTTTTCTGTCTTTCTCGTGTTATTTCTCCCTCACTTTACACTTTTAACCTCCGTCTACACCCCATGGGTCATCCAGTGGGAAAAACGGTCCATGCTAATTAGGTTTCTTGACAGATGATTTTTGACTACAGGAAAATTTTGCCAGAAATTTCCGCTTGTCTCACATCAAACTGCCACTGCGCAGTCATTTATAATCTTTTACATGTTGAAGTGATAAATCTTAACAGTTAAAGCCAGTTTTTGACTTTTTTATGTTTATGTGCATATTATATTACTCATCATCATATCTGTATCAAAGACAGCATTTTTTTTTAACCTGCATAAAGACCAGAATGGCATAGAAAGACCAATAACACCCTAGAAACCCTAAACAACCAGTGTTTTAATATTATTTACTATTATAGTATTTATTCACATTTTGAATTTGCTTTTGTTTTTATATTTTTAGTTTTCATTTTAGTTTAAGATAGCCAGAAGTTGGACACCCTAGAAATCACACAGAATTCAATTTTCACTTGTTTGTAAAGCACGTTTAGCCACAATCTTGAAACATGCTCCATAATGTAGGTTATAACTTATTATAATTATTATTATTAAATTACTACTGCTGTCACACTGTCAGAAAAAAGGTACAAAAGCTGTCACTAGAGCGATACATTTTCAAGAGGTACATATTAGTACCTAAAGTGTACATATTGGTATACCTAAAAGGAACAAAAGTGTACCTTTTGAAAAGGTACCTCCCCAGTGACAGCTTCTTTTATCTGAGAGTGTATATAATGGTCTCTTAACAAGTTTCTTGGCTTATTAAAGATTTTGTAGCTGTAGTGTGTTTGATTTCAGGGGAATAGCTGGCTGTCAGTGATGTAAATGATAAAGATTTTCTGCTTTTCTCGTTCTTGTTTAGTTGTACTTCTCCTTCACCCTGTTTAAAACTGAGCGCTCATGCAAAGAATTTCAAAAAGCAGCTGTGAGTCTCTTGGCATCTGTAGTCAGTGGCCGTCTTCCAGGATAGATCCATCACAGTCAGAAGGAGAAAGCTTGTGTGTGTGTGTTGCCGTAGACTCCTGGCTTTTATCCTAATGAATGTTTGCCCTCATGGACCCAGAGGAGGGGAATGGGATTAAGATCCAGGCAGGACACTGCTGATTCAGGTCTTCTGAGGGTTTTGAGAGTGTCATAGGACTGTTTGGGGAGATATCATTTAGGGTTTTTTGAAGTAGCAGAGAACAACCCAACTGATTCTCTTGAGAACTGATCATTAGCATGATTCTTGACAAACTCAAGACTATGTCTGCTGACCTGTCGGTGAAGCTTCTTTTACTCCATCCCTCCTGTATTTCTGTCCGTTTCCTCTCTCCGGAGGGCTAACAGATCTCAGAGGAAACATTAGTCTATGGTCTGAGTCTGACGCCATGTCCTCCCTAATATTTTCAGTCATAATGTTGGTTTGTGTCATCAGAATGATGCATAACCAGGGGGTATAGGTCACTATTGGTGATTAATTTGAAGTCAACATGAAATTTCATTCACTACCATTTTACTTCTGTAATGTGACATATTTTTAAATGAAATGGAAATAATTAAGAACAGGACTTGATTTTATCCATCTGGAGTTGACTGGCAGTTCGAGTTATTTAAATGAAATATTAGGAAGACAAACAATTGTGCACCGGTGAATGTGCATCAACCCTGTAAAGCCTGACATATGAAATAATAGTCAGAAAAACAGTATTGATTGAACCTTTAGACAAATTTGTTGTTGTTGTTGAGGATTATATTTGATACATCAGGCTTTTATTGCTCATAGTATAACATAGGAGAATATGGAGCACATACTCGAGAAGGGAAAGAACATATCAGTTTTAATCAGAGGCCAAAACTGAGCAAAAATATGCAATTTGGTGAAGATGTTATTTATATGGTCGAAAAGTAAGAAGAAATGTTTATAGATCAATGGCCTATCCTCAATCTAAAAGGCATTTTAATTGCTAAAAAAGTATAAACAGACAACAGAAGGCATGTGTTAGATTGTGTGCAAAAAACATTTCAGCTAAATTTATGATACAGAAGTAAATAGGGTCAATATTGATTTTATGTGGACTTTAATGTGTGCCTACTGCATTCTGTTGCTTTTGTTTATTTTCTTATACATGCATTGGCTTGTTTGACTTTCATATGACCCCTCTGGGAGGCTGACGGGCTGTCAGTTAGAGGGCAGACCGTTCAGACAGGCTTTTAGGCTCTGATACGCTCTGAAACAGAGCAATAAAAGCCCCTCCATTACGGCAATGGCCGAGGCAATGCCCCCAATTACATCATCCTCCCCTCCAGCCTGTCTCCTCTTCTCTTTTTGCCCTTTCCAATCATTCTCTGTGTTCGTGATGTCCTTATTTCATCTTTCTCTCTCCCTCCTCCATCTAGTGATGTCATTTGATATGAGGAGAAAATGCGGCCCGCTGACCCTTGAGACGCAGCTCGTCTGTACTGAAATGAGCTCTTTGTTTCTGCTGCTGCCAGGCGGCCGTGTCTCACACACACAGCTCTTCATCACTGCATCTGTCGGGCCTC